TGGGAGGAGGTTTCCCCCAGCTGGCCTGGTAGTCAGTCAGTGTGCCCTCCTGGAGAATAGAAGGGGCCAGAGCAGCTCCAGCTAGCAGGGGATGCTGAAATATGGACGAACAATAGTCCTTCTGACTACCCTGCCATTCACTCAGAAACACGCCTCTGGAAATAGAACTTTTTTTTTTCAAGGTAGCATTCCAAGATACCGAAGGAAAATCTATATTGCATTAGCAAAATAGATGCTATATATTTAAATTATAGTTTGGTCTTCTTTACTAACCTTCCTTCTTAATATTTCTGGAGTTTCTAACTTTCAAGAATAACTCAGTCTGCTTAGCAAATTAAGCCCTGGCTTTTCTCCTGAGCTTGACTGTCACAGAAAATTGGGCTGCTGAATCTTCAGTGGGAATCCTATATTTGATCTTTTATCTACAACATGCCCACTGTGCAGTATTTAAATCCCTTCAGGCAAAGATACGACTAATTTACCACTTATCCAGGTTAAATATACCTGATTGTATGGCCTATCAAATCATTGTCTATGGGCTAACATATTCTCATTTCAGTCAGCAGTAGAGAAAAGTCAAAGAATGCTCAATTATTGAAAAAGAGTGTGTGGTACATCAATTATCGTGAAAATTTCAATGTAGTTTAGGGCTAATAAAACATTATCATAAAGGCTACCACTAAAACTACATGGTAGTCCCCCAAATCCAGTCGCTATGGGGAGAGGAAGCTCGGGGGTTTTTCTCCTGCCCTGAGCTGCCGGGGCTAAGTGAGGTCACTCTGTAGTCACATTTCTCTGTAAGTACAGCCCTGTCTGGGGCCTGAGTCAACGAATGTGAGAGACTGCCTCTCCTGTCCGAGCTGCACTGACTGCTCTGTACAGAGGCATGGGGAGCCCGAGCTCCCCCCAGCCATGCCAGTAACAGCACCTGCTTCAGTCATGTGCACGGAACCCACGACCAACATGACAGCATCTCATCACAGAGAACCCAGGGGCCACAACCCAAGTCACCCCAACTCCTGGTTGTGGGTAGTGACTGTGAATGGAGGCCACCGCTGAACACACGGATATGAGTCCCAAGTATTGAGGCCAGTTCCATGGAGAAAGAGTGAGAACGGCGACTTTGTCCTGCTCCAACAGTTCAGAGCACTTAGAACATTTCACTTTAAGAGCGGGGAAGAAGCAGGAATTTTCCATGGGAGGAACTTCTTGGAGTCAAGATGCCCATTCTGACTTTTCTTAGCAACAGCGTGCCAACAGCCAAGACATCTTACACAGTCGTGAAGTGTAGGACACCGTGCCTGCGTCAGCTCTCTGTCAGCGCTGGGCTCCGCTTCCCTGCCGACTGCTTTGTCTGTTCATCTGGCCCTTCTGGCATCCACTCCCTGTCTCCTCGGGTGCCTACACCCCCACCTCCGTCCCCCACATTTACCTCATTCCCATCACCCAATGGACACAGGAAGTGCTGCTAACCCCCCTTCCCACACAGCAACTCAGGTCAGGGACGTCCCATGACGTCCTGGGGCTACATGGCTCCTAAGGAGCAGGGCCCAAACTCACATCTTGGATTCTTTGCCTTCAAATCCAAAGCCCGGGGAGTAAGGACCTCATGGTAGGCATGTGCCTGACCTTGGCTTTGCCAGAACAGTCCCATCTCTAATGAAAGAAGAGAAGGCATGGCCAGAAGGAGAAAGAAGAGAACATACAATATTCTATTACGTTTAGATGAAGATTAAATGTGGGTAAACATCTGGGTGCTGAGTTCTCTACTGCCATCTCTGGCAAGAAACGCACTGTCTCCATGTTTTTCTTGAGATGAAAGTCTCTTAACCATCCCTGACACCACGATCTGCAGGGAGTCGTTTTCGGGGCCGCTGTGAAGCTCTTCCTCTACCTGCCTGGGGCCTCTTCTGTTTGGTTCTTTTGGGTGGTCTAAGGGCAGCTGTTACTTCACAGTTCTTAATGAGTCTCCAGGATCTTAATTCATGAGTGGAGGGAGAGCTTAGAACCCCCAGCCTCTGGCCAGTAGGCAAGAGGTGGTTTTCCTGAGAAACCCAAGTCCCAAAAAGCCTGTCTTGATTCCTTTTGGGACATGAAGCAAGCAAAAGGGTAGATGAACGCCCGGCTGACTTTTCCTTCCCTAACACTGTTAGCTGCCCCTCTCTCCTTGATCCTGGAGTAACAGAGCTGCCTTCTCAAAGAGATGCCCTGGCTTTTCCTCCCAGAAGCAGTGGGCAGGAGGCCTGCCTGCTCAGGAGGGATGTTGAAAAGAGCTCCTCTCTTGGCTGTGGCTGCCTCCACAGGGTATGACTGAATGGGTCTGCCACTGGGGCATGTGGTCTGCTCTCCCGCCACTCTGAGCTTCCCTGGGCTTCCAGCTGAACACCCCCAGTCTACCCTCCTGTGGCCAGTGCTCTCTGGGGAGTCGCCGGCAGGGATTCACCACTGAAAATGGTGTTGGCAAAGGCACTGCCTTTCAGCCAGGGGAGGGCACATCTCCCCCAGCCCTCACTAAGGGCACAAAACATCGGGTTCCTCAGCAACCGGGACATTCAGAGTTAAGAATTTTTTGATGCTACATATTTTTAGGCCTTTGGACAAGAAGAAGTTCTTGTACAATTTAAGAATGATGTGGATGAGGAAAGCCCCCTGAATGCTGGGTTTTTCAAAGTGTTGCCAAGCAATGGAATGGGCTTTGAGCAGGCTTGGTGGGAGGCTGGGGGTGACTTCTGGCTCTTAATCCTCACCAGGTGACTGCTCACAAGGCTCCTTTAAGTCTTCACGATTGAGACAGAAACCTTAACGTGCACCAGAGTTTTCTGTGACAGTAAAGTAAGGTGATTAACAGAAAGCTTTAACACTGGCTCCTGCAGACTTGAAGATAGGGCAGAAAAACTTTTGAGAGAAGCAAAGTGAAGTAGAAAAAGAATGTGTGACAAGAGTAGAAACCAGAGGTCATCTCCTCTAGCCATTACAGGACTTAGTGCAAGTGAAGGTATTTGTCTATGTACGCAGACAGGTCTCTGTCCCACGAATGCTGGCCAAGTAGCTTCATGTGGCAATATCCACAATTGGAGGAAAAGAAGGGACAGGAGAGCTTTTCAGTTAATGTGTCCTGATCCTGCACACCGAACCAAAAATCGGCCTGGCAAGCAACAGAAGCCCTAATTAACAACAGATCCTGCTCCCACCTGGCCCAGTGTTGCCAGCTGCCTCCCCGTCTGCTTCCTCCCTGGGCCGTGGTGCAGTCCCTGTCACTAACCCCGGGCTGGCACCCTGGTCCTCTCCTCCTAAGCTCTTCCTGAGCAGGCTACTTAACCCTGAGCCTGGCTTTCATCTGTAAGAGAGCACACCCAGCAGCCGCCTTCTGGAACTCCTGTCTTTTTTTCCTTCTGTTGATTTTTTCCCTCTTCTCCTTTTGCTCATCTATGACCCTGTCTCTCTTTCAAAACCTCTTTAAAAGTCATCTCTACTGTAAAACCTCATCCATTTCTCTTTACCCTCAAAGTTTTCTCTGAATGGTTCCCCACCGAGGGTAATTTTATCACACAGTTCTAGATGTGAAAGCTTTGTAAGCCATAGAGTGCTCAACACCTAGACGTTATTAGGAATCCCTCTCCTCAGCACTCACATCACCAGTTCAGAGGCTCATTTCTTCAGTCAGCATTGTTTTGTCCCTTCTGCTGGCTGCTCATTACTGTTCCAAGCATGACCCGGCAGCCAGCAGCTTCGGTGTCCAAGTCCTGACGTGCCTGCTGAATCTGAATCCAAACTCCCTGCCTGTCCAGGTGAGTTCTATGTACATTAAAATTTGAGAAGCATGGAATTCAACATTAAGGACCTCAAGGGTATAGATGGCATGGAATTGCCAGAAAGCCCTCCAGAACCTACAGAGGCCTCTGAGCTGGTGTTATATGGGCGGCGACAATCTTGTTGTCGAACTTGCCCTCAAGAATATCGCCATGCGACCGGTGGTTTGCCAGCAATAAAGCTAAAAGCCTGCCTACGTCTGCTGCATATGAATGATGATATTTACAGGAACAGACGTCACCTGAGATTTCTTTATATTAAAAGCTCTAAAATCACATCTGCATAAAAAACACAGAAGGGTTCGTTTAGGATAACTCATTATCAGGCTGAGTGCTTAAGTCCTTGGCAACTGGAAGGAAAGTCAGTGAATTGCGTCGTCTCTCTTAAGAGTGAACGGCCCCCTTTCCCCAAAGCGAGTTCCTGTAAATCACAGAGGCTCCCTACACTTCACAGCTGATGCCTCCTCACGTTACCAACGCTGCTGAACATTTTAATGAAGTTCGGAAACCACAGGTATGAAAGGACAGCTGGCCTGGGACTCCCACGGCCCACGTTTGGTGCCTCTGCAAAGTCCTGACTGAGAAGAGTGCTCTGGAAACCTGGGGCAGCTTCCCCTCTACCCAGGACACGGCGGTCACGCTCCCCATCAGCAAGATTAATTTGGGACTCCAATTGCTCTATCATATGATCCCTTCCTAATGATTAGCAAACCATCTCCCAGAAAGGCTAGGCCGAGGCCAACAGATGAGCAAATAAACCAGGCTCAACGCATTCCACCAACTGATCATTGTTTAACGTTATCTCTTAGGGACCAGGTCTTATTTAAAGAGAAAAAAAAGAAAAGGCTCCATTAGGAAAAAAAAAAAAAAGGCTGAGTACATAGAGATGGGAAAGCGGGTTGTGGGGTTAGATCCAGGTTACAGCCCAGCCCCAGTTAGGTGACCGTGGGCGAATCTCCTGGAGCCTCACTGTTCTCCTTTAAAAGGGGAATGATACCACCTGTTTGGTGCCTCTGCAGTTCACTTGACGCACACGACGTTCTAGAGTCTAATACCTCACCCAGTCTAAGAGCTCGGTAGCCCAGGACACATTAGATGTTCTTGCTCTGCTGTGCGACTGGCTCGCTGGCTCCCGTACCGTGCTGCAGGCCCAGCCCCAGCGCGAGCCGCCTCCAGGAGCTTCCTGCTCACCTTGATCATTTCTGCCACGTAGCTCTCGGGCCCGGTGTACTCCGTGGAGTCCTTCACTTTCACCAGCACGATGAAGCACAGATAGTGCCACATGTTGTGTTCTTCCTTGATGTGCTCTTCAAAGGTGACAGTCTTGTTGTCGAACTTGTCTCTCTCCAAGCCTACAGAGAGACAGAAAACCGCCGGCCCTAAGTGAGCAGTCACAGAGCGGCAAACTCTGGGAGATGACCGCCCGCAGGGGAGGCTGTGGCTCTAGTGCCCTTTTTGTGCAGAGCTGGATTCCGTGGCCTCCTCCATGCAGTCCCTTTTACATCCCTGCAGGGAAACCCAGAGTGCGGGGGAGATGGACCTGGGTCTGCAGCCCACCTGGGCTCCCCTCCCCTTCCCCCCATCACTGTTTAGTTTCCACATGCCCTAGTGGCCTTGTCAGGGAACGGGGGTGGGGGTGAACTTTAAACACATTTTGAACTTTAGCTGGTAAGTTAGTATTTTGCAGAGGTCTGGGCAAGCCATCATGAAGCCAGTTTCTGTGGATTCCTGGATGGAGCAAGGAAATATATGATGTATAACAGGAGCCACACTTCTCACTGTCAAAGAAGGGAGCCCAAATATGGAAAGGGAGGAAGAGAAACACTGTAATGGTGAAATGGAATAAGAGATGGGTATGAATTCATCCTTTTTCACATGTATGTAAAAATCAGTGCAGAAGTGTGTGGCACGTGGTTATGTGCACACAAACCCCGCCGTGTGTGCAGGTACGTGTCTACTCTACATCTGTGTTCTCATAAGCCCTGGGAGCAGGCGTACAGCAGCACGAATGCACACACCTCGTCCCCAGATTGTAGCTTCTAAATACCCTTCTTCACTAGAAAGAATCAGGGCTTTTTGGAAAAATGGGCGATGCCAGGGCTGGGTCAGGGAGTTACAAGCTCAGCTTAAACCTGGAATATCTCACAGCACTAAGAAAGGAAGGAAGTATATAAAAAATTGTGGTGACATGACAAAACAGAAACCAGCCTGAAGGGCAGGACACTTCTGGAGCATTCTGAGCATCAAAACAAATAAAGACATTAAAGGATATAACCTAATGGATTAAATAAAAATACAGGAATCCGTGTTGTCACAAATACAAAAGTATTAATACATATAGTATACTTACCTACACGAGAAGAGAAAGTTCTTTCTTAAAAAGCCAGTTAACAAATGTAGAAATAATAAAGTAAGAAAATCATCACTGGGCAGCCATCATACTAAAAGAGCCAGGCAGAAATCATCAGTGGACGTTAAAGCTAGTGGATTAATGTTTAATTTGAAGAATAATGAGATATTTACATGATCTCAAAATATCTCCTTATAAAATGATTCCTAAATACAAAGAGAAAAAAACCCTAAGCTTTAGTGGAGAAACCTGGCAATTTCCACCTTCACCCAAGTGACTAGAGTTAACATCACCGGTTAGAGGAGGAACAGGCATCACATGCCTCCTGAAATGATGCCCTGAGAGTAAACACTTCTTTGATGTTCCTACAAAAAATGCATAACCCCAATTCTACCATGAGAAAACATCAGAGAAACCAAACCCACGAGACACTGACCAAACTCTTTAAAAATGTCAACGGAGGCTCAAGAGCCATGACAACGGAACGCTCCATGACCTGGGCTTCCACTGGTGATAAAGGGCATTACTGGGATCAAGGGTGATAGGAACAGGGTCTGCAGACGGAGTGGCAGTGTGACCTCTCTGCTAATTCCCTCATCTTGGTGACTACACTGCATATGTGCGAGAGAAGCTTCTTGTTTAGGAGATATACATAGAAATATTTAGGGATCAAGGAGATCATGCCAGTGGATCTCAGACTGTTCGAAAAACTGTGTGTGCGAACAAGCCAGTGAAGGAAGAGATCAGTATTTGGGGACTCTGGATGAAGAGCAGACATTCTTTGTATTGTTCTTATCACTTTTCTGTAACTCCAGAATTTTTTCAAAACAAAAGGCCTGAAGTGGTTTTAAGGGGGCAAAAAGCTGATTTTAGTTTTTAAATGGAAAATGCTCATTTTTTTGGAGTAGATGTACCAGCAGGAAATTTCTATATTCACAGTAACCATATTAGGAATAATTGTGAAATAAGCACTCAGCTACCACATTCCCACGTGGTTGGTTTCCATTTCCACGCACCTCCCTGTGGCTGTACCGACGATGGTTTCTTGGGCACCCCATGCACCCTCTACCACTCACCATGGAGCGCCTACAATGTGCGGGGTCTGTGCTAGGAGTGCTGCACAGACTAGCTCTCTAAGCCCCATGATAATGCACGGAAGGACATAACTATTATACCTATTTTACAGATGGAAAAATCAAAGTACAGAGAATGAAGCGACTACCAAGATTATGTGACCCGTAAGCAGCAGAGACTTACTCAGAACCCAGGTCTGAGTCCTGAGCCCAGGCTCTGAGCACAGTCACCACACTCCAGGCAAGGAATATTCTTTCGTCTGATGCCCGATACCATTTGCAGCGGAGACCTCCACAGCCTGGCTCCGATGAAAGATCTCCAGTCTAGTTACTTAGCAGGGGACCAAGAGATGCTCTGCAGCCTCCAAAAATGAAAGTTCCCCAGACACATTCATTTCAAACCATGTGCGCTTGCACGTCTGCCACGGGAACCTTCAATCCTGCAGACACACTGGCCCCAGGAACTGTGGCTCCAGGTCCCTTGGCTGACAACACCCCCCAGCAGAAAGGAGGCAGGGGAGCGTCCCCCCCAGCACCAGGGGCCCAGTGGCCTGAGGAGGCGGCAGCACCTCCCTCGCTGCCCAAGGCCTGCACACAACCCCTCCAGTCCGTGGGGCCGGGCTTTCCTGCGACAGCCGGGCCCCCACACTTACCGCAGATAAAGCACGTGGTCTTTAAGATCTCCTCCTTCTTCTGCTTCTCGCTCCTCAGGTCAGCAAAGGTGTCGATGATGACCCCAAAAATCAGATTAAGGACGATGATGATGACCATGAAGAAGAACAAGAGGTCATAGATCACTCTAGCGGCAAAGAGGGGCTCCTAGAAAAGAGGTGTCTCTATCAGTGAGGTCACCCCACAGGTAAACTTTGGTCTGCAGGGCTCAGGGAAGGAGGGAAAAGGCCGAAATGGGCCCAACCTTCGTGGCTCCCTCACCCTACGGGTCTGCTCTGTCACAAGTTCAACTGGGCAGCACACCTGAAAAGTCACAACTTTGTCTCTTTTCACACCCTTTGTACCAAAGGTTGGTTCTGCTGGTGTTGCGTGGTGTGTGCATGAGAGCCACTCCCTGGCATCTAAGGGGTCTTGGGCGTGTATTCACGAAGGCTGGACCCGGCTGGGGGGGCAACAGGCATTTCCGTGCACTGAGCAGAGAGCGGGAGATCCCCCCTCCTCAGGGCCCCTTAGATGCCAGGGAGCTTGCCTGCTCCAGGGGGTCAAGGGAAGGAAGGATCCTCAGGGAGCCAGCTCTGCTGTCCCGGGTTTCTTTTTTTTTCTTTTTAAAGATTTTTATTTATTTATTTGACAGACAGAGATCACAGGTAGGCAGAGAGGCAGGCAGAGAAGCAGGCTCCCTGCGGAGCAGAGAGCCCTATGCGGGGCTCGATTCCAGGACCCTGGGATCATGACCTGAGCCGAAGGCAGAGGCTTTAACCCACTGAGCTACCCAGGTGCCCCCTGTCCTGGGTTTCCACACATGCTCTCTGCTTCGGGCTCTGTCCCCCCACCCCGCCCCCTCTGCTGTCCCTCCCCCCTCGGATCCAGCTACCTCTTTGGATGGCTTCCTGAGCACGTCTCCTACTCCGCCCCCGCTCCTCAGCCCGTGACTCAGCACCGTGACGATGCACATCAACAGCGTCTCACACGTGTGCTCTTTGTCTTGTTCCGTCTCTTCCGCAAGGACCAGCTCTGTGAACACGGTGAGTAACAACAGATTTACAACGTGTGGGCAAAGACCGACCATGGTTCCGAGATGGTGTTCCCTGCGTGCCAGCTCCCCAGCTACACACAGGAACAAGAAAGAATTGTTAAAACTAAGGAATCAAGTGTCACATAATTTCTTTCAAAAAGGTGATGTTACCTGGGAGGATTATGTTTTCTTCACCAACCCTTGCTAGTTTCTCAAGCCAAGTCAGAATTGCCTTTCCCTATATTAAATCCAAGAGAATCCCTATCCTTTTCAGATTTAAACTCCAGTCCCAGCTCTGAGCAGGCACTGGACCTTAAATAAGTTGCTTAATACTGTGAGTCATGAGTATCTCATCTCTCAGATGAGGGTAATCCCACAGCACCCAGGCTCCTCACTGGCTAAATCCAGCCACATTTTACAGCAGGCCCTTGGTTAAATAGCTTTGTATTAGACACTGTCCATTCCTAATCATTTTTGGAAGAAGAACCATGTCTTGCTGCCTGTCTTGTTCTTTTCAGCAACTGCAGGGAGAATGGTCTTGCTAAAACAGATCTTGTTGTATCGCTCCCCCAACCCCCTTCAACTTTTTTTTTTTTTTAAAGATTTTATTTACTTGACAGTCAGAGATCACAAGTAGGCAGAGAGGCAGGCAGAGAGAGAGAGAGAGGAGGAAACAGGCTCCCTGCCGAGCAGAGAGCCCGATGTGGGGCTCGATCCCAGGACCCTGGGATCATGAACCAAGCCTAAGGCAGAGGCTTTAACCCACTGAGCCATCCAGGTGCCCCTCCCCCCTCAACTTCTAGTCATTTTTTGGGTAAAGTTTAACCTCTTCAGCCTAACATGTAAGATTCTTCGTGATCTAGCCTTTTGTTGACCTCTCTGGCTTCATTTCCCGCTACTACTATTTCTCATGATCATTATATCCTTCAACACACTATATTCTACTTCCAAGGCTTTAGACACCTTATTCCCTTTAACTGGAACACCTAACCCTCCTCCACTGTCCAAGATTCTATTGTTTTAGTTTAACTACCACCTCCTTGGTGATACTCTTACTCCAGTATTAGGCCAGGTGCCTATTTCTGTATTCCCTCCTTATTCCTAGCATTTAACATACTGTCTAATAATCCCCTAGGTGCCTGCCTGCTGGCCCCCTCCCCGATAATGGTGTATCTTAGAATACAACACAGTCCCTGGCAAATAGGGGCACCCAGTAAATAGTGGTCGAATCAACCAAGCAGGTATTTTCTTCCCACATAGCCTTCTTTTCCCTTTATCTCCCTCCTCTCTCCCTACTTATCTTCCCCTCTCCTACTAGCCTTGCTTCTGAAGAGTAAATCTGCTTCCAATATCACGTAAGCCATCCCAGCTTCTAGAGAAGCCTAACACTAACATGGGGCTTAAGCCTACAAGGTCCTACCTTCTTTGGGTGCCGGAGAGGAGCAGTTTTCCCCAGGCTCCACCCTACACACGTCAGAGTATAGGAACTCGCTTGCCAAACTCTCTCCGGCTTCTGGGAAAGAGAGGAAATTTTATGATGAACAATCTGGCAGCATATGGTTAAAATGTTTGAAGTCCCCAATTCACGGCTGATTAAACAATTCTTTACATAAATAACACCCTACATTCCTGCATAGAAATTCAAGGCAGAGATGCAATTTACACTTTCATTTGGTGATCTGGATGGGAAAGGAGCCAGAAATGTCAATTCCTGTAGGCTCACTAGAAATATCGCACTTAAATAGCACCTCTCCAACTTTAAAGACACACAGCTGAAACTCTTCGACAAATACTACTGTACGTACAGACTCCAGCAAGATTTGCACCAAGTCTGCACAAAAAGCATCAGCGAGCAGGAGCAGAAATCTAAGGTCCAGACCAGTTTAGTTCGGAACCCTAAGATGGTCGGCAGTAAATTTCACTCAGTGTCAACTTGGAAGCTGGAGTTACATGCCAAGAATGCAAGCATTTGGGAGAACAAGGCTGCCTGGCTTAGCCAGTGATAGTAATTCTAGTTTGTTCCTTAGACTCAGGGCCTCTGGCTACCTGATTAAAACACAAAACAAAACAAAACAACCCAGTAACCTTTTACTTAATGGTGTTAAAATATTTTAATTGAGACAAGGTACACTTGGGTATCACTCAAGTATATGATCATTTTATTTCATTTTCAAAAGTGGAAATGAGTTCTGTTTGCTCTCTATAAAAATAATGTAAGCTCACTGTCAAACTTACATATAGTGAAAAAAGACAAAAAACAAACAAAAAACCCCACAACAACAACAACAACAAAAACAAAAAAAAACCCCAGAGATAACCATTGCTGGGGGGAGGTAATATTCTTCCATATTTTAAAAGACATATATGAGCTTTTTCATTTTTAAAAAAAATATGTGGATCCTATTATAGTTATTATTGCAATTTCCCACCACAGCTTTGTGAGTGCTTTTCCTTGAAGCTTTACAGAGATGGGCCCTGTCTGCAGGGGGATGCCCCCCACAGGACCATAATCTAATGGAACATCCTACATTTACACTGGTTGCACTTTCACACTGCAGCGAAAATTCTTCCATATACATCTGTTTCCACACAAACATGCAGCAGGTTTTTCCTTTAAGGATAAATTCCTAGAAGGAGATTTACCAAGCTAGAGGGAGGCGTCCCCCTATGCTTTCAATACATAGGGTCCAATTCCTTTTAAATGAGTTGCATTAGTTTAAAATATGACTTTAGTGAGTAAGTTAAATGTAGGCTCTGGACCCTTACACTCAGTATCACACATACCAAACCACCCTTGGAATAAAGTGAGAACCAAGTCCTGGAATCAGAATTCATAGTCTGAGTGCCAGGGAGAAACCTACATTGCTAAAGTCATCGTTCTCTTTCATTCGCCTACAAGCAAGAACTGTCCTCTTAACATTAAAAAGATCTGAAGATCTCAAACTCACCTGGAAGAGCGGTTTCATTGGGCAACCTATCTACTTCCAAGATAAAATCATCTTTGAAGAAAAGATAGCCCACTATCGAGAACAGGTAAACCAGGATCAAAGCCAGAACTGCTGTCAAGATGATGGACCGTCCATTGCGAGTGACACTTTTAATGACATTAAGCAGAGTCTCTTCTCTGTATACCAAATCAAAAAGCTTTAAAAATGAACAAAGAGAAGACAATGGGACAGTTTTAAGAAGCCTCTATGTTAGATGTACACAAAAATCTCATAATGAAAACTCGATTTATAGAGAATTTACCCTTCTAGAAACAAACACAAAAGCATTCTACTATTATCTTAACACTTTATACTTGCTTGTCTTCCTGAAAACTGAGATGGGGAACATTAGCATAGAAAAGGTGGGCAGAGGCAGCAGTAATTTCCGGTGGGACTCAGACAGTTGAGAGGTCCTGGGGATGGAGAAAGTACAGGGTAGTTCAGCGAGCTTCAGAAGGAAAAGGAGAGCAAAGGATGAGGGTCCTGGCATGTGTCCGCGTAGGCAGTAGTAGCTGAGTTTCTGCTAAGGGCCAGCCACTCTGGATACAGGATTGGACAACCCTGGCCCTTGTCCTCTGGGAGCTTGGAGTTCCACAGGGAAGGCCCCGTCCAGCAGGCAGAAGGAGGCAGCAGGGACTCTGGAGTGTGAGGTGCAACCTTAGCTCAAGCACAGGACATCAGGATGGCGAGCTGGGTTCTCGCTCCTTCCCCCCGAGCCTCTGTTTCCTCATCTACAGACGAGAGGACAGGGAGCTGCTGTGAACCACAGCTACATAATGGATACCGTGTCCGGGAGATCACAGACAGCCGCACATACGTGCTGCGTGCACACAATAAATAGTAATGATTATTTCCTGATGGAGGGACTGGGCCCGGGTCACGCAGCTCATGGCAGGGACCCTGGTGGTAGTACACACCGGGGAGCCTAAGCCCTTCCCATCTCCCTAATGTGGAGGGTGGGGTGCAGAGCCCCCTTGCGAGATCTGTGGGCTCACAGTCTAGGCTCGCCCTCTGCTAAGAGACTACTTGCTCTTTGCAAGAAGTTGGCCTGTAGGTACTTCTAGGAATGCGATACAGATGGCTGGCTTTCTCAGATATTTGGCTGTGGGAAGAGTACAGAGCTGTGGAGGAGAGTTCTGTGGGCTTTTTCTTGGAGCAGGGGTTTAGTTTGGCCTCTGTGCTGACACCGACTCTTCTGAAGTTCTGCCTCCACATGGCTTTGGGGCATGAGTGCACAGCCAAGTGAGTCAGGGGACAAGGGTTTGAATCCTGACTCTGCTTTTAATTTGTCGTCACATATAGATCAAACCATGTAACCTCTCTGAACTCGCTGGTGTCCAAGTCCCTTCCAATTTATAGTTTTACATCTGAGTTCATTTTCTGGTCAATTACCTCTTCTGCCTCCATAAGGCCAATCTGTGTCCTGAGACCTTGGGCAGGGCACTGGGTATAGTAGGAGACTCGAAGGGAAGGAAGCAAGAAAGAGGCGTTCGGTCAGTATAACAGTACAAAAGGCTTATGTTGCTGTTGCAGTTGGTTAAATATTTTCCAGCAACCTGCCATGAAGCAGTGAGTGAGAGCAACTTCTGACAATACACAAATGACATTTGTGTTCTGGGGAAGGACCTGTAAGACTCTGTAGCCACCAAGTCATTGAGATGGCAAGTGATTGCTTTTTTCACTCATCTGTGATTTCTGACTTGAAGACAATGGACAAGCATTGCTTTATAAAGGAAAAACTTTCTTCTAATTGGAAAATTACACACGTTCAATGGAGAAAACTTTGAAAACACAAAAAAGCACAAAGAAAAACCAAAATCACCAATAACCCCACCATGTACTTAAGTTATTTCTTCTGCAAGGGCTACACTGGAAAAATGTAATAGATACAATATACCATAATCCTGGCATATGGTCAGCCCCTTTCATCAAGCAATCATGAAAATTTCTGTGTCAGAAATGATCACCTAGAATGTCCCTGTACAGAAAAAAACCTCAGTTTACTTAGCCAAAATATTTACTTTTTTTTTTTTTTTTTTACAACAGTCAAGATGTTTCCAATTGCACGCCATTAAAAATAATACTGTGATAAACACCTTGCCCCTTGCCTCTATACATACTTGTCTGGTTATTTCTTCTTGGAGAATTTCCAGAAATGGAATTATTGGGTCAAATATTGCAACAGAAACATATTGCCCCATTGCTTTCCAGAAAGGCTGTACTGATCCACGCTGTCAGGGGATGGGGGATGGGGGCCACTAACTAGAGCATGCGGTCATAAGACCTGAACATGCTTAGGCCTTTGAACCTTTCCAAACATCACAGATACAACTTGGGATCACATTGTTGTTTCAATTAGCATGTCTGTGTTTAGCAGTAAGGTTGGACATTCTTCCATGTTTACTGACCATATGGATTTCTCCTCCTGTTACCTGCCCATCCGTGAACTTGACACATTTTCATCTTGGGCTGTTAACGTTTTCTAAGGACACATTTGGACACAGGCTCGAGACCAGGTTCAGCCAGTCTGGGCCCCCACTGTCCTTTTCTGGTCTGCTGGCAGGGGCTTTCATAACCCTGGAATATGTGGCTTTTCCCTGCTGGAGGTATCTCTCCAATTCCCTGTCACAGGTTTTAGTACTTTGTGATTCTCGGTAAACATGTTAAACACTACTTTTGATACCAAAAGTAGCACGTCACCTGAGACCACACGTCATGGGCCAGAAGCACACAGGAGGGGCATCCAGCCACCATTTAGTCTGACCCTGGTGAGTTCTCTGAAAGCAAGCTGAGCCCAGGCGGCACCGACAGCTCGGGGTTACTGCTTCTGTGGCGGAGGAGGGACGTGAAAGCAAGAATTCGAACTGCCCTGGGAAATAACGGCCGCACCAAAGCAGGGACTTTTTCACGAGCTCAGATGAAAGGCAGTTCAGGGCTGTGCTCACAAGCTGACTCGGCAGTCACCAGAGCTCACCTCCCCTCTGGTCTCTGGCACTTAGTGGGTGACTCTGGGCAAGTTACCTAACCTCACCAAGCCTGTTTCACCACCTGTCTCTTGCAGACATTGTCTCAGAAGTCGTGGTGAGAGACTGTATAAAAAGGGCACATGGGGGAACATTCCCGAAATGGCAGTAACGATGATCTTGTAGACCGTGAGCCTGTAAGGGCAGAGAGGATACTGGTTTGTCTCACTGCAACAGCCCTGCATCTAGCTCGGGTACCAACCAGCATCACAAACGACCAAAGGCAGAGGACTTGAAGGTGCAGGTAGGGAAATGAAGCCGAAGGGACGCAGAATGTAGGCGAAGTCAAACCCTCCCAGGAAGAGATGGCGCTGTCTGAGGAAGAATCTCCTGTGTCTTGGGAGAGATCCATCAGAGACCTCCCACTGAGCTCTGCCTCCTTGCTGGGGAGCACCCGGGGCTCCCTGACGCCACACCCCGATCCTTATCCAGGGGCATTACTGTAGGAGACAGAAAGGCTCAGAGGTATACAGGGAGCTCTCAAGATTTCTGATACAGAGTGACCAAAATAGGCCAAATAATGGCAATCGCAAGTACATCCAGAGACCTCTCTGCCTAAAACCTCAAACTATAGCCAGACCTATTTTAAAATGAGGCAAAACAATCCATTTCCCTCAGCCTGCCAACATCTACCACTAATGGAATGAGCTAATCCTGATGACCTGAATGGTGAATTCTTGATGGTGTTTTGGATGGCAGAGGAAGTAAGCGATGACAAAGACAGTAATAATAGCTAGAATTGCTAAGCATTTCTTGTGTGGTAGTGCTATTCTAAAGCCCTGACATGCACAGCTGCAGATAATCCCTGTGGCAGCCCTGGAAGGGGGACAGCTTGTTCTCATTTTGCACATGGGGAAACTGAGGCACAGAGCCAGTGTGTCACCGGTCCAGAGGCAACATGGAAGATACCTCCCAGGAGAGTTTTCCTCGCTCTACCCTTCACAAATAAGTCCCTCACTTTAAGTCAGCACGTAGGCTTGGATCATTTTTTATCCTTACTAACATTTTAATTCTTCTGGTCTGGTTATGGGTCATTTTGCTTGCAGTCAGTCAGTTTCATGCTTCCTGTCATCTGATGTAGGCACAAGGCAAAGGTTTCTTATCTACAACTCTACAGGTCTAGACTCCCTCTAATGATGGGAAAATAAGTAGCTATTTGGTCTATAATTTAAAAACCTGCTCAGGAAGAAGGTGACCGAACCAACTCATTTTATAGACTATCAAGACATTAATCACTTGACTGAGATTGGAACAAAATAACTTCCAGGGAAAAGGTCTCCCGGACCAATAAATCTACTGAGGTCACTGTCACGGATCTTGGGACTTTGAAAATAGCTCCTCCTCTTACTTCGTTACTAAATGTTCTCCCTGGGAAGCAGATCCCATGAGAACTGTCAGATGATGACAGTCTCAAAAACATTCTCCTCGGTAAGCGCTGGCTGAGTCCAAGAAAGCAAGAAAAGCAAAGATGCATGTGGAGGACGCATCCCCTGATCCAGACCGCAGGTGCTGTCTACCACCGGAAAGTAAAAGGTCCAGCGTGGACGCAAGCACACACCTGCTGATCTTCTACCAGCTGCCCTGCTCCCTGGGGGGCTTCCTTCTCTAGATCTCGGAAATGATGCACGTGACCTTCTTAGACCAGACACACCAATCACCATTAAAAGGAGGGGTCTGTGAGGAGAGACACGGGACACTCCTCGTTTTCAACATGTAAAATCTTTCTGTACCAGGAACTCACCAGCAGACTGTAGAAGAACTCGTGGACGAAGAGGCCCATGGCACAGATCAGCAGATACAACAAATGGTAAAGGAACTCGACATCCAGAACCATGGCTCGGTAGCCTCTGGTGAATGTTCCACAGTTGCCCACAAAGCTCATTAGAAAGATGATTTTATTGCAGACCTGAGAATAATGACAGGAACAGCCAGATAAGCACAGACCATGCTGAACTGCAGACTCCGTGACAGCCGAGGGCCATTTTCACGCAATGTTATTTCCGCAACAGTGCCCAAACGAAGCTTCCTTTTGCACCAAGTGCCCAATGAACCCGCCCAGAACCATTTTGCAGATCTAAGTCATATCGTTACTTTGCTTTTCAGGCATATTACACAGTATGAGGTACTCAAATAACTTCATGAGCAACAGTAATCAAGTGGCATTTGTATATGACAAAAACAAAATTAACACATACCGAAATTATGATTTTCGAAATGAGATATGAATCATTTCTAACATTCTTATATGAGTTAGTCAAACACAGAAGTCACCTCAATCTACGAACCCTGTGATCAGCATAAATAAAAGCATTTTCTGAATTTCTGTTAAACATTCTGGGCATTATAAGGATTGTAATTTAATGAGAAGCAGTTAGTTCTTGTCTTTCACTGCTCCTGAATTCGTAGAGGAAATAATTTTCTTGGGGAAGAAAAAGTAAGGGACTTCAGGATGAGTTCTGTTTCCCTGCCCTCCTTCTGGGAATACTAATTTTTCTTTGGGGATTCGTCCTTTCCATGTGTCAGTCCTTGGAATCTGCAGGGGGTTGGGGGGGGGGAAACCCCAGTCAATCAGCTGTTCTATTGCCCTGGCAATAAGGATCGGTTCAGGGATAGTCACATGGTCCAACAGAACCCGTGAGACTCACTGAGAGCTTTCCTGGGACTGCAGCAAAAGACAACTTTATTGCTTCATCCTGACCTTGAACCTAAGAGAAAGTAAGTTTTGAAGCTGCTGGCCTCTGTCCTGCCATACCACAGCGCCTCGGAGCACAACCGATGCGGAGCCCAGAGACGGAACTGGATCCTGAGGCCACTGTTGGGGCCCCTGTTGGGGCCCCTATATTCAGCAGCTCCTGATAGCAGGATCTTCATCTCTCAGACCCACGAACCAATGCATTTTCTCCTTTGGTTCAACTGGCGTGGGTTTGGTTTTTTAACACTTGCAGCTGGAGTTTGATCTACTGTGTAATACAGTCCACCTCTAACAGAAACCCCATGCCTCCAAGTCCATCTCAAGGAACACACTGACAGAAAAGAGAAGGCTGGAGAGAAAGGTTTTCGGATGTACTTGGTAAAACCGTCTTCTGCTCCCCCAGCTGCCTTGGCCGTAGGTGCTGGGGAAGACCTGCCAGTTAATCCGGCAGGTCCGTGTAAGGGAGTTTCTCCGCAATCAGGTACGTGAGGAAGCCAACACCCACAGGGAACATGAGCCTTTCTCAGGATAAACATCCAATCCCCTAGTACTTGTTCTCTAATATCCTACCCATCACTAGTCCAAGATCTCTCACTGGGTGAGAAAGTACCATTGACTCTGGATGATCTGTGCTGATGGGGTTTCAGGAAAACAAACAAAAGGCCACACTCTGGTTAACATGGCAGGACCTCAGACATGCCTCGGCCCCTGGTGTCTCATCCGAGCAATTCGCTTTACTTCAATCCACTCTCCCCTTGAAACAACTTCTGCCCTCGTTTCCTTCATTGCTTCAGTAGCACGTGTGTATTCACGGTCTTGGCCTGGCGTCCCCACCTCCTACCGACCCTGCTTAATGAGTCTAGCATCTGGCTTCCAGCCCCACCTCTCCCCCGTAGCAGCTCCCCTCCAGTCTGCAAAGGACTGAGCCGGGGCGCAGGCGGCCGTGTCAGCCCTGAGCACCTAATCCCAGCTCCTGCAACAAGACAGCTCGGCAGGCCACCCCCTGCCCCCAGCACTCTGGTGGCACCTGGGTGCCAGGATACCACCCTGTCCCGCTTCCCCAGCCCTTGCATATCCAATGCTCCTTCTCTGTCCGCAAATACTCTTTCTCTCATCTCCTGTATGCTCCATGTGAATGTTCCCCTTTTCTCATTCTGGTTATTTATTACAGTTATTTTGGCTCTCCCAACCCAGATGTTACTATAAATGGTAATTGCCTAATTTGAGTCTTTCCCCCAACAGATTTATGTTAAAGAAGAGATCACTGTGAAATGATTAAAGCCCAAAGGGGAAAAAAAAAAAAAAGCCCATAAGACTACAATCTCTGAAATACTGAGTTTTCCCTTTTGTTTTTTGTTTATATTTCCTTCTTAATGATACCTAGACCAGCGAATGATACCTACTTTCCCTATGTAACACTGATCAGTCTTTGTCACTCCCGTCATACATTTCCAAACGCCACAGCTAACATGAATGGTTCGCCCTGTCATCTCAAGCCTAGTAAATCAACAATTTAAGTGCATTTTCACCTTGAAAATTAGGTTTCTGCATGACTTCACTTTAGTTTGTTGCATTATTCTTTTCCTAGTCACCTGTGACTGAAACTTTGGAGTTGGGGTGGCCTCCTTCATCACCCCGTCAAGACAGTAATACCTTCTTGACCTGGAGAAAAGGCTTTGAGGTGTGAGGCTCTGACTCCAGCCCCACAACACATGACCCTAACCTTTGCAGCTCTGACATCTGTGCCTTCCTTCTTCCTTCCACATTATGACCAAGACCCAGGATTGTCACACCTAGTCAAAAGCTCTGCTTGGCGTGTCCAGAATGGTCCTCCTGCCTCTGGTCCTTCCCACTTGAATCCACATAACATGCCACCACATGAGGGTATTTTTCCAAGAATACTTCTTTGTATATGCCATTTCTTTGCTCAAAAAAACTTGAGTCATTTCCCACTACTGGGAATAGTTTTCCAACCTGTATTCTACAACATTAATTCCAAGTGATACTTAAAATGTGAGCAAGTAAGTTTAGGAAACAGAGATACATGATTTCCCTTTCTTGGAGATTCATAACCCTTATCACACATGTTAAAGTCTCTCAGAAATCCTACAGTATAAACCCTTTAATTTTGTTTAACCCAGCCTCTCCCTCATGGATTTGACCAATGAACCTCTTTCTCACCTAAGACTTATCAACGTGGAGCATTCTTTGGAAACACTTCCCTATAGGACGAGGTCCAGGGCCCTTCTCCTACCACACAGTGCCCTGGTGACCTGTGCCGGGAGCAGGTGCTGCGTGTCCCTTCCTGAACCACAGCAGAGGGGAACACTACTGCTGGCTGTCTCTTGAGAGTGTCCTGGGCCCTCTCCAGTGCTCTGGCCTGTGGGGCTGACAGGAGAATGCTCTTCCCAACCCTGTTTTCTGGCCTGGTCCTGGCCATTCTTCAAGGCAGAGCTGAACCCCAGCCTCCTCCCCCGGAGCTTGTCAGCTCGAAGTGGTCCCTTCTCTCCCAGTGTCCCTTGCTGTCTTTACCATCTGCATACCCATTTGGGGACATTTATTGCTGCAATGAATTACTCTATTAACCTTATTTTGCAACACATTTTCTATTTCTGTACAGTAACCTCAGCTTCCTGATATGCTTGGGGCAGAAACCTCTGGAAAGCAGGTTTTGATGACCAGACTCCCTCCCATGTCCAAACCTTTTGCTTCCTTTCACCAGGACACCTCTAGTATCTATGGTCCTGCATCGGCTATCTGTATTTCCTCAGAAATCCCCCTACGCGTGCAGGTGGCATCTAACCCTCAACTACCATGGAAGAGACTTCTAAATGTCCCTGCTGACTTTGAAATAACCCCGATTCTCTCTTTACCTCTCTACCTGCTCCTCTTCTGTCTGAACAAGTCCTCCTGCCTCTTCTCCTGGCTCTGTGTGGTCCCCACCAGAAGTGGGTGTGCTGTATTAATATTTGACCATTTGATTTATACCATCAATATCTGACCATTCAGCTAAAATCTCCTGTCCCTCCAAACCTCTGACCTGACTGGGAAAACTAATTTATATCTCCACTGCTCTCCCTCTTCCTGCCTTACTCCTGGGAGGGATATTCCCTAAAAAGGAGACTGTGGATGCCCGGGTAATAGATTAAGAGGTTCACTGTACCGTGAGAAGGTTAAGAGGGAGACGTCCACCCACACAGCTCTTGCTTCTGCTTTTCTAACAGCTGACCTAAACAGTCTTTGGCTGTACTGCAAGCCCAGGCCAAGATCCCAGGAACCAGAATGGAAGGCATTCCTGTTTGCATGTCAACAAGAATGAGGCTATGAAGTTATTCATACTTACATTGAAAGCTCCCAGAAGAAACAACGTGGGTTGTAATCCAACCGAAAATATCAACCGGAGAATTGTGGAAGCAATTAAGGCCCGGATGCCATGGGGCTTGGGGAGGGCAATGACAATGGCCAGAGAGATGAGCATGGCTGTCCACAGCAGTCCTGACCAGTGTGGCTCCAGTGTTCCTGGAAAGACAAGGCAGGGCTCTCAAAGATCAGTGCTTTCACCGAGTAAGGGGTGATGGACCAAAATGACACTTTCTGCAATCCTCCAACTGGCCCTACTGTCCAAACTCTCACCTCCAGTACTGTGCCCCAGATGTAACATCACACATCCATGTTTTCTCACCTCCAAGACTTGACCCATGTTCCTACTACCTGGGAAATTCTTTTCCCTTTCCTCTTCATCCTAGGTTTTAGCTGAGATGTCAACTCACCCAAAACCTCCCCAACCCCCTTCCTTTTCAGGAAACCATGCCAAGTGCCCCTCCCTCTCTGGGTTCTCCATACCCACTCCAGTCATCCCTACAGAACACTATTTTCTGGTGGTCAGTTCACCTGTCTTTCTCTCCCCTCCCCCCCCCCCCCAACCCCCCCCCCCCCCCCCGGTGTATTCCTCCCAACCAAATTCCCCAAGGGAAGCACTCAGCACCCCGTAGGCACTGGTCAAATGAATCTGTTCAATCAATAAAACTCATATACGTATCACATTTCACTTTTCGGGAAAGCAGACTGGAAGCCTAAACTTCTAATTTCTATTAAAAGTATGCAAAGGAAAATTGCAGGTCCCCTGCCTGAATCAGATTTCTCCAAGGGAAGGAGGAAGGCAACTTCCGTATCATTAACATCATCCTACAATTAGATTATCCTTGTAGTCAAAGAGCTTATACCAGTTTTTGTCATCTCTTGCTATTTCAAGTTCTATTTAGAGTGTCCCACGAGACGGCTTAGTTATATAACATGAGCCAACACGGCTAAAAATATAGTTCTGTAAAACGCTCATTAAAAAAAAATAAAACCCTATTTCAAATGCTGTCACATCTTGAGTCTCCTTCAGATGTAAACAAGCAGCACTACACGATGAAGGCCACTTACATAAAGGAGTTTCACTTCTCCAGAACTGCTGGGATCGAAGCCCCACCCAGGAAAGAGACACCCTTGCGAGTTCCAGCTCTTCCCCGAGCCTGCTGGCTGCCCTAGTTCATTCTGTTCATGCCGGCGAGACACTTTTTCTCTGGAAACTGTTGCCCCACTCCCAACCACTTACCTCTTCCCTTTTGATATCCTTCAAAAGAAAACCTGATTAGAAACGGGCACAGAGAGGCAGAAGCTTTTCAGAACTCCGGGAAGACGTGGATATTGAGGCTTATGTCACTTCTCGTGCATTTAACAGAGGCGAGATAGCCTATTAAGCCCTTTACGTTGATTATCATTTATGTGATCTTCCCAACAGCATATGATTATCTTCATTTTCCTCTGGAGGAAACTGAGTTTTGGATTACCTATCGGGCCTAAGGTGACACCGCAAATGGCTGGAGTGTGTATGCCCCTGAAGTGGATGGTCCTTAATCACCAATTAAAAAAAAAAAAAACCACAGAAAATCCACTGATGTTCAGCTTATAATGCAATGAATTTTGGCAGTATATAGAGCCATATTACCACATGTGACTGCCAACACAATGAAGATACAAACATTTTTGTTCCCCTAAAAGGTTTCCTGTGCTCTTTGCCATTGCTGCCTTGCCCATCTCCACCCCTAGGCAACCACTGGTCTCCTTTCTATCACTAGAGCTTTGCACTTTCTAGAATTTCATAAAAACGGAAAGATAATCAGATTAGGAGGCAGTCTTTTTAATTCTTTCACTTAGCAAGTTTTTAAGATTCAGTCAGTTTATTTTGCGTATTAATATTGTCCTTTCTATTACTGAGTAAGATTCCATAATACGGATAGACCACAATTTACTTATCCACTCAACAATTAATGGATACATGGGTTGTTCCCAGTTTGCAGTTATTATAAATAATGTTACTGGGAACATTCAAGTACGACTCTTGGAATGGGTGCATGTTTTCCTTTGCCTTGGACAAATACATGGAAATAAGATTTCTGGATCCTAAGTGTATGTTTAATCTTCTGTGACACAACCACATTCTTCCACGGTGACTCCGCCGTTCAGTTGTATGTGGGAGTCCCACGTGCTCCACGTCGTCACCAATATTTGGTATGGTCGGTATTTTCTTTTTATTATTTGCTCATTTTTATCTCTTTTTTCAGCATTTTCAATTTTAGCCATTCTTGTAGGTTTCGCATGGTATGCCATCCTAGCTTTCATTCGCATTTCTCTGATTAATGACTAATGTTGAGTATCTTTTTATGTGCTTATCGGCCATTCTCTTGTAAACTGTCTGATCACATCTTTTGCCCGCTGTTCTAATCGAGTTTTCTTTTTATTATTGAATTTCAAGAGTTCTTTTGTATTCAGGATATAAGCCTTCTGTCAGGTATGTTTTGTAAATATTTTCTCCCAGTCTGTGTCTTGCTTTTCATTTTCTCAAGTGTTTAATCGCCATTGTAAACTGCCTCGAGATCTCAGTATAATAAATGGGACCAGTACAGTGGACATACCCAAATCCTGAAGGGGCCGAAATAAAAACCTGTTGTCTCCCCACTATAAAAGCAGTGTTAAAAAAATAATGCTAGATCTTAAAAAAACCAATTATAGAAAGACATCTTTAAGACAATTGGAGAAACATGAATATGGACAAGCTATTTCATGATTTGCTGTTAGTTCTGTTACATATGATAATGTTATGGTAATTATACATATTTTGAAATATTCTTAGAAGTTAGAAATGCACACTGAAATATTTATGGGAAAAACAACAAGATGTCTAGACTTATTTGAAATCTTTCAGAAAATACAGTAGGAGAATAGAGGAAACAAGACTGACAAAACGTTGGTAGTTGTTAAAGCTGGGCTAATACATACAGGGGAGTGTGTTAACTTCTTATTACTTGTATATTGGAAAATTTCAAAAATGACAATGTTTTAAAAGGAGTACTGTATGTGCTTTAATCATCATAGCAGGCTCACAAATTCAGTAAAAAATCTGAATGTGCCCCAGGCTTCATGCTTTCAAAGGCTGTGTGACTCATCAGTTCTTGAATAAAGGGGGAAAATGGTTCTTTTGAAAAGGAGCTTTTAAGGCCACCACTATCGTGGGCAGGCACAGGCCTACAATGCCACAAAGCTACATTTAGCACCCATAAGAAGGGGACATTACATGGGGACATTTCGGAAATCCTGGTTTTAGAGCTCAACATGAACAAATACTGATGTCAAAGAAATACTCTCAGGTAACCAAGCAGATCTTATTTCAAGGCTGGGCTATAACCCTCCTCCTGAAGATGGTTAGTAGTGAGTACAGAAGATGGTCCCGGCCTGTCTTACAAGAGGAAAAGTAAATCCCTCTGAGAATGAAATGATGTGTTTGAGGTGAGCTCAGTCACTGTGTCATGGGAAAGGCTTCCTGAGGTCAGATTAATCCTCTTCCCTCCTGGGAGAGCTAATGATGCTTTCCTTTAGTCTTACACATGAAGTACCACAGCCCACACTGCCAGAACAGGAACCCAGAGTTGATGCCACATTGAGAACCCAACACTGTAGAGTTGGAAGGACCTTTCACACTCATCTCATCAGTGGGTCTTGAACTTGTATGGGCCAGAAACAGGATGTCCCAGAGATCCTGACTGGGTCAACCACTATTTTTCCCTGAACTATACAGGGATTTCCAAATCCACATCAAGGTTTTACAACTATGGGCTCAAGCATTTTTTAACAGAGTAGCTAAGAAAGACTAATTGAAGTTGCCTGCCCAGAGTCGTGTGAGGAGGCAGTGGCAAAGCCAGGCCCAGACACTGAGTCTGGATGTTGCGAGTGTAGGTATTCCAGCGGACGAGGCTGACCCCTGCAGGGGAGGGGAGCTGTCAACCACCTCTCCTCAGACATGGGCCTCAACGTGGCCACAAATGACCAGTGAAGAAAATGGTTGAAGCACGTGGTAAAACCGATTTTAAATATTTCTAAAGAAATGGGGGATAAAGCAAAATGCATCCAAAGTAATGGCTGAAGAACGGGTTATGATGAGCATGAGGACTTTCCTGAGACGGAAAAGAGGGCTGGGCTCTGTCACTCTGACGGGCCACTTCACGCTCGCATCTCTGCCGACCAGCAGTCTGGCTGGGCACATGCCCCCTTGATGTCAGCCTTGCAGTCCTGTGGACCTGCACAATCTTTTCACACAGGGGCACTTATTCCTAACATGACATATAAGAAGGAAAATACCCCCAGACTTGCGTTTAGGTGTCACTTTTGGGGGAAAAAAACCACTCCAACGATGCTTTCAGTGTAACCGAAGGCCAAACAGAAAAGCTAACTGCTCGAATGGGTGTGTTGGATACCTGAGCATCAGGGAACAAGCCATTGCTTTCAAAATGGACCTTAAGTAGACTTTTTAAGTCTAGACAGGCTGTCTCATCACGTATACACCTCTACATCACCAGGCTCAAGAGCTAAGCCCAGAACTCCTGCGCTGTTTTGGTACCTTCCTTTTGGGCTCTTCATTCCATTTGTTTCACACAAGGTGGCTACTGGCAGGTTGTGACTATGTATGTGAGATGATCTGCCAAACAACTGATGAAAAATGTAGCAGAGAAGACCTCCGAAAAGCCAGTGCAGGGTGTCAGAAAAGGGGCCATGGATGTGTGACAGTGGCGGGGCTTCTGTTGGCCCCCAGGTCTCCACAGGCGTGCACGGCTCCAGAATGCTGTCCAGCAAACGGAAGAACCGCAAACACAGAGAAGCCCCACCCGGACTGTCTGCCTGTTCTCGGCAAGATGTGCAGAGCACACGTGAGAGGTGGCTGGAAGGAGACAGTGGTGGGCGTGGGGGCAGATATCCACAAAGACCATGGACATCACATGTTATTGCATGAGTAGTGGCACGTGGCTCTTTACAGACTAAACATCCAAGGAGCTGCAGTCTTCAGTCATTGAAGCCCTGCCTCCCTAAGCCCCTTGCCAAAAAAAAAAAAAAAAAAAAATTCCAGACATGTCTTAAAAACTCTCCACTCTGAAATTAATTCTGTAAGTATGGTATGGGGAAAATAATCTAACTGGACTGGGCATCAAAATATCTATGTTCTAGGGTTAGCACCCCCCCTATCTAGCTGTGAAAGTTTGGCTCCATCTCTCAGTTTCTCTGAGACAAAGTCTCCCAATATGTATAAAACAAGGAGGCTGACTGAGATCGCTTACAGATTTCAGAGTGTACAGCTTCTCTTTCTTTCCTGGCAGATAAATGTGGACACACCATTTACATTCTTCTAAGTGAGATTTAAAACTAAGTCTGTGGTGAAAGCTACAATCTCATCTTGTCTGAACTGGGTGAGTGAGATCCCATAATATTGCATCGACACTTCCAGGGACTGTACTGAAGATGCAAGTCGCAAGCTTCCTGCTGCTTCTCATAGTTTTCTTGAAATTAAAAATGTGGGTACCTCCTCGGACTCCTTTAAATGGGTAGAAAAACGCCACAAGCAGGTTCATCAGGACGGCCAAGTTAAATGAAATGCTGCTCCAGAAAGACATGTTTCGGGCACACCAATACAGAACGGGCTGGGCTGCGAAAACAAAGATCAGGCCATGTCAGGTTTGAAGCTGCTGGTCAGAAGGCTGGGAATCCCACCCGGCCCTTCCTCCTGCTCTGCCCCACAAGCCCACTTTTGTTCCCAGTCTTTACCACAGCAGTAAAAAACGATCATTTGTTTTGAGGTCGACTCATAGGCTCATAACGACATCAGATTGGCTTATTTCTGTTTGGAGTACTTACTGGAACAGAAGATATATTTGGGGACAAGGGAGAGAAGAAAAGGAGAAAAGTTGGGACATCTGAAAAACGGTGCATGCCCCAGTCAACACCACCAGTTATGGAATCTGGGGTTGTCCAGAGTTCAGGCACTGAATCCTCAGTCCTTCCAGGGCCCTGGGACCAAAGGAAATGCCCAGAGAGACCCAAGAACTTAGTGAGCCTTTTGGAAGTGCGGGGCTCCAGCTGGAGGGACACACAGCACTCAGAGTTGGCCCAGGCTAGGGAGGCTACCATTTCCACACTCCTTTGCTCAAAATCCTCCACTAATTCACTGGTGCCTAAAAGCTAGACAATGATGCCTTTCCTGACATCGAGCCATTTTCCATTTTCCTGAAGTCTGACGATCACACTGGGGGCAGGGGAACTACGGGAGGGAGTTGCCGACTGGGTAGTCAGCAGCAGCGAGTTCCCATTCCCAAAGGCTACAGTAGAGAAAGGATATGGTACCAAAGCCATCACCGAGGGTTGAGAGACACTTTGCATATTGCTGCCGTCTGATTCTGTAGTCCCCTAGAGGTCACACCACGCTGGCCAGGCATGTTCAGTTAGAACAACAAGCCTCTGGCCACACCATGTGTGGTGGTGCTTCCTCTTCCCCTGAATTTGTCTCCTGTGGTGCTTAGGGTGATGCTCAAATATAGATGTGGGAGGCATAATTTCAGTCTCCATGCCAGAAGCAGAGTTTCCCAAAGACGGTCTCCTTTCACTTTATCTCCCTCCAAAGAAGTATGGAGTATGGGAGAATGGGTCTCTATGGCGTGTTTCTCTTCCCCAATGAAGTCATCATTTACCTTCAGGACAGCAGCCAATGACAAATTCAATGGCCCTATAATGATGCCTAGAGCAGGAGCCAAATCTTTGAAAGCTTCTCTCCAAAATAAAGTTATGCCACAATTAAACAGAGCCTTGGGTAATTTAATAATTGCTCATTTCATGTTTGCACTTGGAAACAGGAAACGTTTCCAAATTCTAGATGTTTAGAGCTATGAGCACCTAATTTAAAATCTCTCATTTTTTAAATGAGGGAAACTGAGGCCCAGCAGGGGGTGGAAGCTGTGGAGATCTCATCACCCAGGTCAGTGCTCCTTGTGCAGTCAGACAAGGCTAAATGTAAGTGGCTCATGTCCCCACCCTGGAGAGGAACTGACCAGGATTTAACCTCCAGTAACAATTAACTTTTTTTTTTTTTTTTTTAAAGTTAATTGCCGAAACAAATTTAAGATGAGAAATCATCTGTTCTGGAAACAATAGCTACTGGTGTTACTTCTGGGCCTGAAGCCCATTTCTGATCCGGAAATGGAAACTCCATAAGAGACAGGTGGCAAGAATGGCAAAAGGCTGGTAATGGTTGAAGCTGAGTGGTGGGTGCAAGGGAATTTATAATTTCCTCTCCACATTAGCGTCAGTATAAAAAGCTCGTATGAGATAAAAGAAAAACAGGAAATGGCAAAGCTCAGTGCTGGTCTACGTAAGCCAGAACTCTCTTCAAGGGGGCTCTCAATATCAAATACAACAGGAGCTACTAAAGGACGCTTTCATATAATTGTAATAAATGGCCCTTAAGCACGGCATAGAGTTCACGAATAAATCATATATTTATAAAGTTAACATACTTAAATCTGATGAACAAATACTCTGTCCTTCAAATCAACTGGGTATCTGTCCTGGTGCAAAAAGACACTTAAAGACCAACCTTCACACACACTGTCTTCTATTTCCCGTGCGCTGTCTAAATTTCCAGACTCTTCTCCCACTTCCCTTCCCCAGAGACACCACCTTCACATCCCAGTCTAGTGGTGGCTCCCTGGACATCTGCCACCCCTCCAGCCTCTGTGCACTGTCCCCACGGAGGCTTGAAAATATGTACACAAAGTCTTTGATGCTCTGCTCTTCGAGAGGTAGAGCTCAATCCCCCTCCCTTTGAGTGTGGGACGGACTTCTTACTGCTTCTGGGAGAATACAGAAATGACGGGTGTGCTTCCTGACATTCGGTCATAAGATGCACTGCAGCATCCTCCTCGCACACACACGCTCACCCTCTCCTCAGTCATCTGCTCCGAGGACACAGCCTGCCATGTAGTGAGGAACTCCAGCAGCCCTACAGGGGGGCCCGTATGGAGAAGAAGTGATGCCTTCCAGCAGCAGCCACATAAGTGAACAGAGAAGTGGGTCCTCTGGGTCCACCCAGCCTTCAGATGAAGAGGCCCTGGCTGCCAACTTGACAGCAAAAACCCTGAGTCAGAACCGCCCAACTAAGCTGCTCCCAAACTCCGGGGCCCTGAGAAACTGTGAGGACATAAATATTTACTATTTGAAGCCACTAAGTTTTGAGGCCATTTATTCTACAGCAATATAACACAACGGATATAGCCTGTGTGATGGGAAAATAGTAATACCCCCAAAGAGGTCCACATCCTCATTTTTGGAATCAAATATGTTACCTTTCGTGAGAAAAGGGACTTCATAGATGTGATAAAGTAAGGATCTGGAGATAGGGAAATGATCCTCAATTATCCAGTGGGCCCAGCATAATCATAAACACCCTTAAAAGTGAAGGAAGGGTGTGGGAGAGTCAGACGTAGAGTCATGCAGCGTGAGAAAGGCTCTTCTGGCCACGGATGGCTTTTCAGATGGAGGAAGAAACCAGGAGCCAACGAATGCAGGAAGACCCTGGACACCGGAAAACAAAGCTAGAGCCTCCAGAAGGCAGGCAGTCCTGCCAACACCTTGATATTAGTCCGGTGAGAGCCTCTGTACATTTCTGGCCTTGAGAACTCTAAGATAGTAGATGTATGTTGTTGTAAGCCTTCAAGTTTGTGGTACTCTCTCAGAGTAGCAAGAGGAAATGAGTACGCCTTCCCTTCCCCCAAACTCTCAGGACTATGTTTATCCAAGTCCTATCAATCCTTCCAGATGCTGTTCAGATGCCACCTTTTCTCAAAAGCTTGTCTTTCCCACACTTCCATAGCATGTCACTGCTTAATTACAGCCCTGCTCCTCGTCAGTCGCCTCAATTACAACCACTTAAAGATATCCTATGCTGCCTGCCCCCATCACGTTCACACAGGAAGGAATCACAGCTTACAGACTGTTGAACCCCCCCCACTATACTTTGTAGCATATTTTCTTTCTTTCTTTTTTTTTTTTTTTTTAAAGATTTTATTTATTTGACAGAGATTACAAGTAGGCAGAGAGGCAGGCAGAGAGAGGAGGAAGCAGGCTCCCCGCTGAGCAGAGAGCCCAATGTGGGGCTTGATCCCAGGACCCTGGGATCATGACCTGAGCCGAAGGCAGAGGCTTTAACCCACTGAGCCACCCAGGAACCCCAATATTTTCTACTTATTAAGGGTACTAGTTGGAGGGATCAATACACCTGCTACATCACAGCAAAAAGACAGATGCCATGACCCCAGTAAGACAGGTCAATCCAATGACCTACACCCCAGAGCACTTCTTGGTCATCCCCTTTCCTAGCCTCTGTATCTGTTCTTCTGAGGGAACAGGGCCTTGCTGGGGGACCTGGACTCTGTGTATATAAAAAACAGAATTCTCCAGCTGTTTGGATGGGTGTGATAACCAGGAGGGAAAACCCCAAGCAGGAAAAGGTCAGCAAATGCAATTCTGCCTCAATTTCCTCTTTCACTATCTTCTCATTTTCTTAGCCCAGAGTGTTCACTTCCCCGGGCTGGGAACTTCAAGAGAAGGAGTCAGAGAGACATGGGTGAGAGAGCATGTGAGCACACTGGAGGTGGTGTACGTGTGTGTGTGTGTGCGTGCGTGCGCGTTCTGTAAGAGGAGCAGGGAAGGTGGCTTCGGGAGAGCTTAGGAATTGACGATCTTAATATCTGCAGAAGCAATTACTAAGTGACCTCAGTCTTAGACAGACTTGGCTTTATATCTGAGCCCTGGCTACAGATGTACCAAAGCACAGGTGATTCTGCGATACTTTTGGGAAAAGGGAAAGCAGCTTCGGGAATAAAGCAGCATTTTTTTTTCCCCCTGCAGATTTATTAGGAGAGAAATCAGCTACTTAGAGGGAAAAACATATTTCATTTTAATTGACGAGTACATTTTAAATGTACTTCTGACGAGTACATTTCTCCCCTCCCTAAATATGCATATGTTTAATTCAGTTACTGTTTTCAGTTTCTCTCCTACCAGCAGATAGCTTTGAAGCCAATTAAAATCTTTCAGTTGACAACGATAGCTGTGTTTAAGCTTTACTGAAGTAAAAACTGTTTCTGAAACAAAGGTGGACTAAATAAGAGAAGGTATTAGCTACAATGCAACGTAAATCTTGAAATGACGACACAGCAGCTCAGCAATCAATCACCCTCAATTCACCACCTTCTAGGTGAGGGTCTGGGAGCTGGAAGTCGTCTGCTCAGGACCATGGAGCCAGGGGTGGCAGGAGTGGAATGCGAGTGAGGTCCCCACCTCGGGGCTGAGGTCTTCCCACTGTGCCTGGCTCAGGACAATGCCTCAGAACGAGAGATTACAGATTACCTCACCTCAGCAAGAAGAGGTGAGACCCCCTCTGTCAGTTCCCAAGCCTCTTAGAGAGCCTCTGCAGTATTGATCTCTTTTTCAGAGGCTCTCAGAATTGGCAGGATGACTCCATCTGACCAGTCTCAGCAGACCCGCACACGGATAAGAGTGAAATCACAGGGGTAGCAACCATAGCGGAGACCTGCATACGTGAGCTCAGGATTCTCCCATGAAGCTGGAATCCCAGACAGCCCCAGCCAACCTAAAGGCTGAAAATATAAGAATACAAAATGGATGTGGTCTATGTCCACCTTGTTTTTGGTATTTTTTCTTTCTCTGTTCACCTGAGCATTGTGCTGTGCAGATGTTCAAGGCTGCTCACGCTAGAGCTGCAGGAGCCTGCACAAAGTCCACAGCAGGCTACAAGGACATACTGTATCGGCCAGAAGTGTGCCCTCAATCTTCCAGGGTCCCTACCAAGGGGCACCCGCAAGCTGTTCTGCTAAAGGCCTCCGGGCCCCTCTCGCCGTCAGACACCTGACTGGGTGAGGAATAGGTTTTGGCTCCAGAAGCATTTTCTTTTTCTTTTCCTTTCACAATTCTATGTTTAAGTAATCTCTACACTCAACATGGGGCTTGAACTCACGACCCTGAGATCAAGAGTCATAAGCTCTAGCTATCGAGGCAGCCAGGTTCTCCCCAGGAAACATCTACCATTTTAAAGATTTATTTATTTGTCAGACAGAGAGAGAGAGAAAGAGAGAGAGAGAGAGAGAAAGAGCACACAAGCGAGGGGAGTGGGAAGCAGAGGGAGAAGCAGGCTTTCCACTGAGCAGGGAGCCTGATGCAGGACTCAATCCCAGGACTCTGGGATCATGACCTGAGCCGAAGGCAGAGGCTTAACTGAATGAGCCACCCAGGCATCCCCAAAACTTCTAATGTTTTAAAGTGCTGGATGAGGAGGTAGCCCTTAGAGATGAGCGAGAATGTTGTGTGGTGGAGGTGTGGTAAAGAACAGGGCCCCTGGCCAATGTGTACATACGTCCCACTTTGCCACTAGCCAGACCCGGGGGCCAGGGAAGCAGGGAGAAAAATGGCGAGATGGAAAGAGGGTGCAGTGAAGAACGCTGGTCCATTCTGCCTGGGTTGGTGGGAGGCAGGAAGAAGACAGGAGCTCCCAGAAAGTGATCTCCAACACAGTTTCCCCTCCCACTGCCCTGCCCCGCAGAAAGAGTCCAAAAGATCACAACTGTAGCTGGAATCCAGGGTTTCAAAGAGAAAACCTCGCTCCTGACTACGAGACAGAAATAAAGCACGATCCTTTCTAAGTTGGTCACAACAGTTGGTGCGGAGTGTACTGTCAGTGCTGAAGGATCCCATTAAAATCCTAATGAAAACCAGGAGCTGAACAGCCCGCTGGGACAGCCCTTATAAAAGCATTTGAGACGGGTAATTTCAAGTCGACGGGCCGGGCAATGCAGTGGGACTTGCTAGTGAGCAATGGTGCGTCTTATGTGGCAAATGATTCCACTGCCTATAAAATGATGCTAGAGTCCAAAACCCAAGTTACCCTGCATAAAAGGGGGAGACTGGTGTCTTTAGAGCCAGTGAGCTAGTAAATGAGCCGTCAAGCTGGCTCAATTTCCTGCTCAAGGGCACCATCCTGTGAGTTCAAAGCCTGGCCTTTTCTCCTTCCCTTTTATTTCCTACAACAAGATACCAAAAAAGGACACTCTGGAAGTCTTCCACAGAGCTCTCCAACCCAATCCCATCAAATGGGGCACGAAGGCAGGTGCCTCCCTGAGGCTAGAGCCCACTTCTCAGCTACCAAGGTGTCCGGGTCTGCCCAGTGCCCGGAGGCAGACGTTAGGCTCGCCCTGCTCCTGCTGGAGACTCGCCCTCCACCGAGGGGTGGGGCTCCTGAAAACCCAGGACGGTGTGCCCCCCGCCCCCCCCGCCAGCCATGGCGCGCCGCAGACCCACCTCGCAGTTTCTTCTGCCAGTTCATTTCATTGAAGAGGTCCTCGGACCGCAGGAAGAAGTCATTGATCTTGCTGCCTTGCTCGTCCCTCTCGGTAGTGTAGTATATCCGCAGTTTCGACTCCTTGGTTAGGAATTCACATATGCTGGGCACAGGGAACACAATCTGTTCCATGGTTCGGTCTAATCTGACGATCTGGGGTGAGAGAATGGAGGAGCTCCAACAGTCATCTGCAGAAACCTTTCACTAGGGATCTTCACTAAGGTCACAGGCCCAGCGCTCATGACTGAGTGTAACACAAAGCTCTTCCTGCTTCTTCTCAGATCTTAGAGCCCCCCGACGGGGCCATGTCTCTCACATTTATGTAAAAACCAGTTTGGGCAAGTCTTTAAGAGTTGATTGTTTTGTTTTGTTTTAACTTGAGACCCATTCATTTTACTGTGACTAACTTTTGCCTCAAAAACTTAAACTGTGTTTTGTGTACATATCCAGATGAGGGGGCTGGGCCTGTCCAACAGAACTCTCTGTACCGAGGGAACGGTTCCGGGTTCCGTGTCTGAACACCTGCCCCGCGTGGCTGGTGCCACTGACCCTCTCCATATTTAATTTTAATTCAAACAGCCACACGTGGCTAATGACGACCATACCGGAGGGTGCAACGCTGGACTGTGGGACAAACCTCACTAAAACTTCTCTGATAGCAAAATTAGTTGTTGTTGGTGTAGTTTCCCTAAATAGGAACTTTAAAAAGAGACCCTTGGTTCATCCAGTTGCACTGTCCTCCTGTCTTACTTGTCATGGCATCTAAAGCACACAGCACGTGAGCTAGTCTGGCCGTTTCACATGGGGGTAGTGCTCAGTGCTCTTTAAAGCAGCTGCGTTGGGTCCCAGAGTGGACACTTCCCAGGTGTTCTCCGTGCCCTTCCCAGAGTGGGTTGGTTTCTGGACAGGAGGCAGTCTGGTGAGGATGGTGCAAGTTCTAGGACACTTAGTCACCATCCTGGGGGGGTAGGGATTTCAAAAGGGGTTCAGGTCACAGTACAACTGGGGCTTGACCTTTATTCTTCCTACCCAGAGGATGGAGAAGTCAGGTGAACCCCAGGGCCTATGCCCTCTTCCAGAAGATCTGGTTCTCACACTCTTCAACACTTTTGTTCCCTGACACAGCAAGAGAGGTGACTCCAGTCAAGTCTTAGTGGCAAGCTCTCTCAGATGTGTGACAGGTTCCCATGACCCTATGTCTATAAATTCTGGGAGACGTGGTCTTTAGACCAGTGGTTCCTGAATCTAGCGGGAGATCAGGTTACAGGAAGCTTCACTGTCATACTGATTCTGGTCCTTCAGTCAGCCTCATGTAACTGGAACTGTGGTGTGGGGGTTGGTGACTGGAGCGTTCCCATGAACCAGCTTCCCCCAGGTGACACTGTCGTCCAGACAGGCTCAGGGACCAACTCTGCCTGTTTACATAGTTGGGTGGGCCCTGGATGTCCCTAAGCTGAAGGGATATGATATAAGACGTGTTTCTGGAATCCAGAGGGAAAGAAGGAGGCTTCTTGGCAAGAACTGAGACTCAGACTCCGGGGCTACACAGCCTAATTCTGGAGAGCAAAGGCACGCTGTAGGAAGCCCCAGGGAGTAACAGGGTGTTCTCTGGCTTTGCATAGGTAATTCCCTCAGGAAAGTGGAAGAAATGGGCGGCTAGCCAAGGGCAGGATTTGAGAGCCAGCAACACCATGCCTGGCCATGTCTCTCCATAATTTACTATCTGCTCTCACCTCGTTTTCAGGAGACTTAAAACTGGGAGAACACATTCCAATCCTTCCCTACCTCTAACAGGCCAGGTGACTTTGTTCACACCTTTTAACTAGAGTAAGCTTCAGCCTTCTCTCCAGTGGATGAAGGAGCTCTGACATCCTATGCTGCAAACACCTACAGCTTGTCCTTTAAGGGCCCCATAAATCAGAGCTGGCTCTGCCACCAAGCTTCTCATCATTAACAATAAATCAAGGGTACTTGCCCACATGCACTGCCATGATCAACTCATCAGTAAGGTGATGCATTTTATTAGAACAGTCCAGACACACTTGAGACATCAGGTAAGAAAATATTCCTAGGAAGTCTTCATCCTGAACATTTAATATGGCCCAAAGGAGTCTGTTAGCCCTTCAAAATCTTTGTTCTGACACGGATATTGAATTTGTGCCCTTCCTTAGCTAATCAGGGCACACCACCCCTTACTGCCCAGAGCCTGGAGACAGAACTCTGTGTTCAATGCAGGTGACAAAATGTGCCATGGGCTCTGGGGTCAGCCAGGCCTGGATTACACACAGTTCCGGCTCAGGCACTGCTTGTGGGCCAATGACACACCCTCTCTGAATCTTCTTTCAGTGTCTCCCCATCTGCTAAGGGCAAGATGGTCCCTTTTGGGTCACAGAGAATGAGTAAGGTATGCTGTGTGTATGTGCATTTAATGCAGATATGACTGCCCCATTCCTGTGTAGAACTCTCCCGTGGTTCCACATGGCTCTTCCGATAAACCAACACTTCTTGCCAGGATGGCAGAGAGGATTCCGTAGGACCCGAGCTACCTGTGCTGCCCTCCCTGCTGCTCACTGAATGTCAGCTCCTTACCCTCCCCTAGTGTCCCCTTCCACAGCCTCCACTTGTCACTTCCATGTCAGCAAAGCTCTTCCCTCTAGGCTCTGCCTGTTTCATTCTGCATTTTCCTAAGGTCTGCGCTTGGACATCATTCTTCAGGACAGGTCCCTCTGACCACCAGAGTCTCTGGCAGGTCACTCTGGAAGGACCCTCTGAAAGGTCCCTCCCTTTCTTATAATACCTTCTACGTGTCCTCACGGCCTGGTCAGAATTCATACCCAACATGCTGGTGCTCAGACGAATGACTATGCGCCCACCCCAGCACAGGGCAGAACCCACAGCAGGCCCTCGCCACAGGCCCTCGCTGAGTTCCCACTGCTTTTACCTCTATCTGGGCTGTGTGCTTGGCATAAAACTCCAGAGCTTCGTCCCCATCGACTTGGCCTCCAGGTTTCAGCATGGTCTGAAGTTCTTTGTTATGCCGAGCCAACTAGAACACAAAGACAGAAAACCAGGGAGTCACCGTCTCTTTGCAGCAGGCACGCATGCGCTCCTTTCCGGCCTTTCCGGGGTATGAAGAATGCGTTCTAACCTGCGGCAAGGTGAAGGGCAAAGGTGGCAAGAGGCCCGCTGCGTTCCAGCAAGGTGCGTTCTGCGCGCGGCTAGTTTGGGAGCTTGGCAGAACAGCCTGAAAAGCTCAGGCTCATGAGAGGTCCCTCTTTCCCCCAACTTTTTTAGCCAGGCGGGAGGGTGATGGGGTTTTCTGTACAGCCACATGGAGTCTCCATTCAGAATGTTCCCAAGCCCTTTCAGTGGCTAAACACGGGCCGTGGAAGAGAAGAGGGGCAGGAGTCTGTTTTCTATCCTTCTGCCGGCACGCTGTGGTGGGGCATACCAACCCCCTGCCCAGCACCGTCGCTGCTCTATCCCTCATTCCCGCACCTCAGCGAGGTGAAGGGGACAGGAAGCATGAGCCTGCCGCAGAGTTACAAGCTGCCCACACACCTCAGCAAGCTCAAGGCACATCAACCTCCAGAAAAAGAAAGTATCTTCAAAAGCCCAGCCACTTGGGAAGAGTTATGAAACAGGGCATTTTGGTGCCAGGGTAGGAAGCATAACTACACCCCCCGAAAAGCAAACAAAAAGAAGTCATAACGACAAGTCAGTCCCCCAAGATTTTTAAATGTGATAGGCAAGGCAGCTGAAGTTTATTTCTTCAGATTGTTAAGACAGACTCATCAATATTTATGAAAAGCCTGAGTCCTTTCAACTGTATCCAAACACAGCCATAAACCATCCGAGTGTCAGGACTCAGTGCGAAGGCCTTTGAGCAGCGTGGGGATTTCCAAGGACGTGACGCTACCGTGGGAAAACGGAAGCCCTGGAACTCAGTACACTGGGTCAGGCTGTCACTAGTATCTGGGAGCCACGTTATCATGAGCAGACACAGCCCGAGGTTAAAACCTTAAAGGAAAAGCAAGTTTAAGCACATGTTCACCTTGGAATGCCAGCACTGAGGGCCAGTGACATCTGGTGCTGGGACCTAGGGAGAGGTCATACCTGATGAGCCAGTATGTAGATGTTGTGTCCCACGTTCCTGGGGGAGGCAGCTCCGTCCTCGCCATTCTCTCCATCCTCAAATTCCACCTCACCTTGCATGTAGGCTTTCTTGATCACTTCCACCTGCAAGAATGGACAAATTAATACAGTTCCCGTTCCAAGGAAGACCCACCCAGGACTGACGCCTACAGTCCCCTCTCCAGGGGCAGACAGGGCCCAGGAATCTCAGCACTCCTTCCGGTCAGGTTACGGACGCAGCCTCAGAATCCTTCTCAACACTGCCACAGGCTGTCCCTACCAATCAGCTTCCACTGACAGGATAAGTGAAACCCACATGTACTGTAGCCGGACCAAGGGCTATTCTGTCCCCTTAGGAGGGGACAAGGGTTATAAAAGTTTCTGGAGACAACAAAATAGGACATAAATGTAGACTAGAGGCCAGACTTTTCCTGTCTCTACATTTCCTCCTGCCAAGTCTCCCCAGCTCCCAACCTTTGCCATCCTCAGGAAAAACTAGTAAGAAATCCACTAGCCTTTAGGCAGAGCTGGTCAAACTATTACTTCTGATTCCACATTTTTCCCTGTCCACATTTCTCCATCCCTACTCCATGTAAAAATAACATCTACCAAGGTCTTTCTATATGTCAAGCATTGTGTAAGTATTTTAATATTTTTTGAGGGGGGAGTTTAATGCTCAGAAACATTTTAGGAAGTGCCAAAGATTGCCTTTTATTATGGATGAGGAAACAGAGAAGCTTCATTTCAGAGAAGGGCATTCCTAAAATGATTTGGCTAGTGAGCTGAGATTCGATCTCGAATCTGCTACCAAAGGACCCATGCTTGTTGCTTACTTCACACTGCAAGGACATTTCCTAGAGCATTTCTGTACCCATCTTACTGGTTCAGTCTACCTCCGTGCCCTATGCAGGGCCAGGGGGCTGGGTCTGCTCGTTTCTTAATCTTTACCTGGCGCCCAGCACAATGCCTTGGACAAAGTCGGGCCTGGCCAATGTTTATCCTATGAACAAATCATTCGAGATTTAATCATTCAAAGAATAAGAACAAAATGCCTTCAACCCCTAAGTTGAAGGGAAAATTAATCATTTTCTTTGATGATTCAGAGGGCATCTCAGCCTTCTGCATTGCCACAAGGCTATTCCCCGGAGTTATTTTTCATTATCCCAGAGCAAGCATGCAGAGGGCCACACAATTCTGTACTGACATCAGGGCAGGCCCTGAAAGTAATTTTGGAGAAAGATCCTTGAGATTCTTGCTTTCGAGCTGGATTCCCTGTTAGTTCTAATACCAAACTGAACAGACAATATATTACACGGGTTGTGGGGGCCGGAATATGCATGTATGTGCACACACATACACACAGGCCTATGTGCAGGTTTGTCCTGGACAGGGGTGCTTCTTTTCTACGTGGATTCTTAGAACCACGTTTGTTCCAGGAAGCCTCTGACTCCTCCCATGAGCTGGGAATGATGTTTTCCAACCACAAAGGGGCCACCCAGAAGCCTGTGGCACCCACGGCCCTGGGTGCTGACATTAACACCCTCCCCTCACCAAGATGGGGGCATGTTGTTGGTCCATGAGAGTTGGAACGGGGTCTCTGAAGTCATTCTGTCCCTACTCACGAAGGACACCTCGAGCCCCCCCAACCCCCGGTTACATAAGCTATTATGTAAACTCAGAGAGGGCATCCATCTCAGGCTGAGAACTCACTCCTGACCTCAGAGATCAAAGAGCTGGGCTCACTGTTAACTTTATTTCAAGGAATACATGAAGGGACTTTAGCCTGGTCCCCGATGCACACAGGTCACCAGGCGACAGAAAAGTTTTTGTGCCCTCATTTAGTGCTGTCAGTTACAGTTTATTTGTGTGGGAAAAGTCCTAACAGAGTTCTGTCCTCAGCTCATTTCAGTGGCTCTGAGAGCTGCCTGTCTCACGGGTTGCAGCACCGACCTCCTAGAAGTCACAGCCCATTGTGAATATCACCCAGCAAAAATAAAAAAGATTTGTGTTTTCTTTGAACAAAACAAAAACAAAAACCCAAGACATCAGCACCCAAGAAACACTCTTCTGTTGCCCAGATTATTGGCCCCAAGATGAGATGGGGATCCAGACAGGGCATGGAGAGCAGCAGCAAAGGAGGAAGGAGGAGGAAGGAGCTACAGTTCACTGCAGGCGCTGTGCTGGGGGCCCGATGCCAACCGTCTCGTCTAGCCTCCAAAGCCACCCTCTGGCCTACAGGATATTATCATCTTCCTTTTAGGGGAGGAGGAAACTGTGGCTTAGAGCGGTCAAGTGCCCGCCCAAGGTGACCAGGCACAAAGGGAAAGCTGTGGACCTGAACTCCAGGCTGCCAGGCTCCCCCGCCCACCCGCTGCCCTGGCTCCCTGGAGGGGAAACGGGAGGTGAAGGCGGCTGCCGTCCGCAGTTGGGTCACCCACTCGAAGCACTACTTCACTTCTCTGGCCCAGTCAGAGGCCCGAGTCTGAGGTTCTCTTTAGACTTCTGGTTCTTTGGCTTCTTTAGAAAACTCAAGGCAGCAAGTTCTCTCCTGCCACAAACCCGGCTCTGCCTGTGTCTCGTGTCACGGCCAGGGGACTAGCCATCCAACTCACCAGTTCCTTCGGCCTCATGTTATAAAGGATCCTCTCTGCGTTCTCGCTGTCGTGCCTGCTCTCCATGATGGCCAGCAGCAACTTGGAAGCATTGTTCTAATTGGACAAACAAAGGGAGGAGACAGTGGAGAGGAGCGGCCTGGGGTGGCTGGCCTGAACGCGTGCGCCCAGTTGAGGCAGGCGCTGCATGCTGGCCGGACAGACAGACAGCTCATCCCACAGGAGAGCCACGGGTCTAGCACAGCCAAAGCCACCTGCACGTGAGAGGGAATGTGCTGCTGCCGACCCCAAACCGTAAATGCAGGCTCTGCTTTGGGTCTCAGAGGAACGTGCTTGCTTGGGCAGGTTTCTCCTTAATATTATTGACACAAGTCCTAGTGGAAACTGGGAAGTTAAAGATGGGTGCTTGTGGGCGTGTGGGCACTCTCATGATGCCAGGGGTCAGGAAGAACCTGCTGGATGGATCCAGGATGCCTTTAGGGCAGATGTCCCTTTAAACCTTGTTCTTTAGCCTCGCAGGGCAGAGGAGGTAGGTAATTGAGGTAATTCTGCCCTTTCTTAAAATATTACTATTACTATCAGCTCTCATAACCCCTAATACTATAATCAGAGTACAGATAACACTAGTTAGACAAAGTGACCCAAAGGAGCACTGTATGTATGCCAAACCCTAATTTCCCATTTCATTCCAAGTTTTCATGTGCCCACGCCCTGAACCTCTTGGCTTGACTTCATTTTAGGTCCTGGGCCTAGGATACCCTGCATGCTTCTTTGTGTACAGGATTAGAAAGTTCTTACTATTTTGCATAAGAGGGGGCAGTATTTGTTTCCGCCCCAAGTATGGGTCATGGCAATTCACTCAGGAGGCTCTGCCATCCACGGTGGCTTTTTAGAGCACACAAATTTCTATCATAATCCACAGATTCCTGGATTAGTTGAAAAAGTCACTGAAAAGACTGATCAGTAGCACATAAAATTTTGTTCATTTCAGGCTCTCATCATATAAATCCTAATAAATGGGAGCCAGGCACATGAGCCTGAATTAATGTTCAAGTCACTTCTACAACTTGTCAAAGGAATTAAAAACAGCACACCCACCAAAACACCCATTTAAATCATACCCACAAATCAGCTATCAATTTGGACTCTCTCCGTTCTAAATACTAAAGGAAAAATAAAAATAATTGTGTAATTCCTGTGGGCTTCTGTGTTAACACCTTCCCTAATGATCTTTCTTTCCCATGATACTGTTTAAGCATTAAACACAGATCAGCTTTTCAGCTAAACCCTGCAGTTCTAGGCAATTCTGTGACAATGACAAAGTGCTCACTGCTGTTTTTGGGTGTGAGAGAGGACGGATCTCAACACGCCCCGACATGGGAAAGGTTAAAAAGGAAATGTGCTCAGTGAGGCAAACACAGTCTGAAATACACTTTGGACATCAAGAGGTCTTTGGACTCTTAAAGAATCTTTGGAAATCCTAAATACGAATGAGGGTTTTCTTTTTGGGGGATATGAGTAAGAAATCAACATCAGAAGTGGTATCCTGTCCTGAGACCCTTATTTGGAGGAGAAACCTGAAGTTTTGCATTTTTTAGTCAGAACTTACAAAAAGGATCATTCATTTAGTCTAAGAGAGCTGCCTGTATTGAGTTTCATAACACTGACCGTATCATGTGCAGAAGCAAAACACAAAAGTGACTATTTCGACATGCTACTGTCTTTTGCTTTCAATTCCTACTTGCCTTCAGTTCTAATACAAGGTCCATCCTCTTCTTTCCCAAAGGATTGATGTCATTAAGGATCAGGGCTGTGATGATGTCAATGCCGTTGGATTCATGGGTGGCTATGCAGTTCTGAGGAAATACACACACACACACACACACACACACGCACATTTACACAAGTGCTGGTCATAAATCAGATGTCAAAAGCCAACAGGCTGAACTGCTATTTCAACACAATGCTTGCCACTCCCAGTAATGTCTCTAGGGGAGAGCTGCGAATTTTCCGTGAGAAAGTGGTAAAAAATAAAAGACAGATGAAAATCGCTAGTTTCAGAATTAACAGTAAACAGCAGGAAAGTCCCCATGCACTGTAACTGATAAATTGGTCGTGTCTAATCCAAAGAGTGCAGTAAAGTTGGCTTTTGTTCTTAAGGGAAAATACGGCGTGTGACTGATTCTGAGTTCTGAGACCTGTTTTCCCCTTTAAAGGTGTGTTCCATTCTCTCTACATCACTTGGTTTTCGTATTGCATACTTTTGCTTAAGGTTGAAGCCTGGAAAGCAAGTTTCCGGCTTAATTCACACAATACCAAAATTAATCATCTTCCCCCAGGTAAGGTTCCCACTTGCAGCAGAATCCACTTCAGTATGTGCCTTTTAACAGACCTCTGTTTGGCAGAAGAGCAAACTTGTGGTTAAAAGGAAATTCACTTAGATGTCAGACAGCCTTTTCTCCCAAGCCGGTTGTAATTTTTTTGTTCCTTTTCATTTTAACTTTGACTACACTATCTGTCTCATCAGTGAACCAACGGAGGAAAGTGGATCCAACACATGCTAACCTCGTTTTTATAGCCAACTATGACCAGGTGCGTGGTACACAATGAGTTGTCCCTTTTGTCAGCCATTCTTCTCTCCTGAGTGAGGTCTTGGCCTTGCTCCCCAAGTAACACAGCATATCACACCTTCCCCGTCAAGTGAGTTTACAGCTGGCAATTTCAGTGGAAGTCTACCCCTTTCAACCAGGGTAGAGCCAAAATTTGAGTTGAAAGTCATAATTACCCTAGAATCAATGCAAAAACTCACGAAGTCTGCAATATACCACGGGTAAGTAATGAACATTCTACTTAAGAAACGGTTGGGTTCCCTTCTAAAAATCTACTTCTTGAGAGGCCAACATTAAGACTAATGGGCCTTTCTTTTCTCTAAATGTCTGTGGTGTTAAAATCTCAACTGAACATTTTCTCATGTTGTTGAAGCTGTCTTGTCCATAGCAAGGTTTCTCTCTCTAGCTAGGTTTAAGCCTTTTTCTGTTAAGTAGCCACTGTTTGAGTCTTTTCTAGCATTTAAAATTGAGCCCAGGCTTCTGGTCTTCACTGAACTCCAACTTCATTATCTACCCTTAGTCAAGTTAGTCAAATTTGGACATTCAAACCAAATCAAACCAAGACACGCCATGCCACGCATGGAGACCAAGGACAATACTGCCAATGCCTAGGATTAGATCAAGTCCTGAAGCACAATAAAGTACCATAGCTCCTTCTTGACTGCTGGAGAAGACTTCTGGTTCTAGTGACTTCTTAGGCCAACAGGCAAATGTTATATGACTTCTGAACTAGTTCCTGTCAACAGTGTTTCTAAAATGGTGAAACTCTTTTTTTTTTCTCCAGCCCCAAATAAAAATGGAGATACCTGGTTCTCATGGCATGGTCCTTGACAGTATTCGGTCAGACTTTCCAGGGTTTGGTTGATGAGGGCGACGTTCTTTTCATTTATATAGAGCCCGAGAAGACCAAGACCTCCAGTAGTGCTTCCACAAATACAGTCCAGGAACTGCAGTGTCTCACACACCAAATTGTAGTTGGTCTTGTTATTTTGGCAACGAAGGAAGTTCTACAATTGGGCAGTGCCCAGGATGAGGGAGCAAAGTCAAAAAGGAGAGGGAAAAGGTCATTCAATGCTGCCAATTTGCTGGTGTCTAATTGGTGGATGCCCTGAATTGAATAGCAATTATGCAGAGAGATGGAGCACTGGAGGAAAGAGTAAGACCCCATGCTGGTCAACTGGGGACCTTGGTCTATGGCAATGGCCACCAAACAATGTAGCTTATTCTCCAAGGTGCTTTTCTATGTGAGGCTGTGGAGGAGGGCTCCTCTTTGACAGAAACCTAAAACCTTTTTGAGTTCTCCTTTCTCTTTTTTCCCCACTCCAGCCCATGCCCCTCCCACCGGGTATTGGGTTCAGAAACATTTGACATTTCAAATGGCAATGTTTATGTTTGAAAGATGGTGGTGTGGTCTGGATGCTGGATGCCAAGAGCCTAGCATTAGGGATATTTCATCACAAAATAAGGTCTTTATAGCCCACTTAAAGCCCACTTTAAGCCCACTGCCATGGCAGAAACCTTGGTTATCTTTTTTTGCCACTTCCATTAATTATTATAGGAAGGAGCAAGAATGAGTAAATGTTTGTGTGCTTGTGTGCATGTGCTCAAATTTATGTTTTCCAGCTAAATCTGTAACGTTAACGGGAAACTTAAGAGCAGGTACTTCCTCAATAAAATCAAGCAAACCACAGTCAACCACCTCAGAAAGCAGAGTCTATTTTGATGAAGAGATTTTTGTCAGAGATTCTTTTTAAAATCTCTTTTTAAAAAGAAGGAAAAATTAACCACAAAAATTCTTTAAAGCAGTTATAAAAGTTGGATCTTTAGCATAGAAGATAGTACTATAAAAAGATAGAAGCAAAATATAAAATAAATGTGACCTTTGACACGGCACTTCCACTTGTATAAAAGAATGACCTCTATTCACAAAGAACATACTGGATGTTCACTACCAATTGCACTGTTTTCAACAATGAAGAACTGGAAGCAACCTAAGTGTCCATCAATGGGGGAGTAAATATAGTACAACAACATCATTCAATATCACAATTTAGAAACACTAAAGTAGGTCCATATGTGTCACCATGGAAAGATTTTTAGGACATACTGTTAAAAGATAAGAAAACCACAAAGGCAAATAATGGATTAGTATGTATACACTCCTCCCATCCAGATACACAGAAGAGTGATTGGAAAGATACCAGCCAACCCATTGGTTCACTGTCCGAACCAACAATAGTTCTCTCTGGGTAGAGAGGTAGGGATGGGGAGAAGAATAAATTTTTTTTAACTAACATCTTCATTTGAACTTCTATAGAGAGAGTCTATTCATGTATTCCTTGTATCATTGAAGTATTTATAAATGTACAGATTACAAGCTGGTAACAAAGTTGAATGTTGGACCATCAAACCAACCATTTTGGCCTACTCTCCTAACTTAACTTTAATTCTTTATGCTCAAGCCTTCCTAACTAGTCTAAAAATTGAACCAACACTTGGGTAGGGGAGGGAGATGGAGGAAGGATGGATGATTTGAGACTGTGTGGTCATACGATGTCTGTCATACGATGATTGTTTTTCTCAGGGCCACAGGAAGCCATGGTAGGCTTCCACAGCCACTCTTTAACCCAGTTCCTCAGGGAAGATGTTACCTATCTGGGGACCTAGCTGAGCCCCTCATCATGTAGAGAGGGAGGGAAAATTCTTCGGGAAGAGGACAGGAGAGGGCCTGGCTGTCTAAAGGTAAAATTCAAAGCATGGCTCTCCAAGCCAGTTGCCTCCCAAACTCATGTGTGACTGCTCCCACCATGTCCCCCCGTCTCTGCTCAGTGACATCACTGTTCCCACCATGCCCCTCCTCCACTCAGTGACATCATTGTTCCCACCATGCCTCATCCTCTGCTCAGTGACATCACTGCTCCCACTATGCCCCCTTTTCCACTCAGTGACATCACTGCTCCCACCAGTGACACCGCCCCTCTGCTCAGTGACATCACTGCTCCCACCATGCCCCTCTGCCAGGAAGCAATGAACTCCTTCCTACTCTTCAAGCACTCTTCATTCTATTCTTCTGGGGCTTCAGGCAAACTATTCTCTCTTCCTGTCATTCTCTCCCTATCTCTACCCTGATGAACTCATCTTCCTTTAGGATGGAGTCTCAGTCACTTGCTTCAGGAAGCCCTCTTGAGCCTCCATCCTGACTCCAGGGAGATCAGAGGATGGCACACACCTCTCTCACCCCTCTCCTTACACTTCAGGATGTGCTTATAGAAATGTCTGTCAGCTCCACCCAGGACCATGTTGATAGCACAGGGTGCCTGGTGGCTAGCACAGTGACTGGCGCATGCCAGGTGCTTCATAAACACTGGCTAAAATAATCTGAATTAAATTGAGTGGATGGAGGAGAGGGGACTTGTGAAGTCCTCAAGCAAGTTGTGTTTCAGCTCCCCATGAAGGATAATTGGCTGCCCTCTCTTGAAAGCCTCTCCCACAGCTCATAGTTTTTGCAGTGTTAAGCCGGAATTTTCCCTTCCCCAGCTCAGATCCATTTCCTCCGTCCTCTGCAAAAACAGAGCGATGTCACTCACTAGGAGGCTCACAGGGACTCCTATGTTCAGGGAATAGATTTCACCCTTAGCACACACCACCCTGCCTTGCTTAGGCTAGAGAAATCCTGTTCTTTTTGGGGTTTTCCTTGAAAGGCCAGGGACCAAGTCGAGATGGGTGGACTGAGAAATGAAGAGACTTCAAGTCTGTTCTCATACAGTAGTTCTCAGCATTAAGAGACCTGAGTTCCTTAAACCAGCTGCAAAGCAAAGGCAGCCCCTCAGGGGAAGGATGGAAAGCATAGGCAAAATGTCTCCAGAATAGTCCTTCCGAGTAAGTTTCTTACTACTGTGGACAAAGCTTGTTTAAGGCAGCAACTGGCTGTTTGGCAAAGTCAAAAGCAGTGGCCTTATCTCTACGAAACATTTACCAACAGTAAAGTTAAGGTTATAAATATGACAAGAGATGCTGGGCAACTTTGAAAGGCCAATTCCTTCTGTCGTTGAGCTTACTGGTACTTCTTTACACCAGGGTGGGTAGTAATGTCCTCATGAGGTCTTCTCCTCCCTTTGGTACACAAGCAAACCCTGAGCCAGAGAGCCACTGTCTGCTCTGGAATGCTGCCAAAATGGTGGCACTCAGAGTAGGTGACTTCCACTCAAAATTGTCATTTTGAGAACCAGATTTCTACAAATGTCATCCTATCAGAGCAATTTGACCAACACCTCAGTGTGTATGACATAGTGGGAGCCTTTAAAGATGATTCTAACCTTTACCCTTGAGAACCACTGGTTCAGATCACTGGTTTTCCAACTAGGCCCTGTAGGACCCAGGGGCATCCTTGGAAAGCACCGCCTCTCAGGGCTCTGGTAGGTAAGGGAGGAAAGGAAAGTTCTTGGGCACTGTAGTTTCTCCTCCGAATAGAACAGCTTTGCTCTCATCTGCTTTACTTAGTACATTTCTGCATAAGATCTTAAACAAAGGATTCTGTGGCCAAAACCAAAAAAGCGTAAAACCACTGACTTGGATAATGCTTACGGTACTTTCAAAGATTAAGTTGCTAAGACTTTTTTTTTTTTTTTAAGCTGCTAAGACTTTTAAAAAATATATTAAAATATACTCTAGACTTCCCTTTCCCCCAATACTACTTTCCAGAGAGCGATGTGTTGGAGAATCAAATTTTGGAAGAGGTCATTGAATGGTGATTCTGTCCATGGGGTTCTTAGGGCCTTAGTTCAAAGGAAGCACTAAGGTACAAAACTAAAACTGTGAAGACTTCTAAACAAGAACTGGCAAATTCATGCAATGAAAGCCTTACTCTCCTTCCGCTGTGGACTCTGGGTACAATGGTAAAGAAGGGAAATCAAGGGGGTACCGTGAAGGAGTCAGAACAGGTCCATGAAAGCAGACCAGGCTTGAGAGCAAGGACATCAGCACGGCCCCTCTGCCAGTCATGGAGGGAATCTACTGGAGGCAGCCTTCTCTTAGCTCAGAACCTGGCAGTTATCAGGTCCTCTGAGGAGTCTTCCTGGACAAGCACAGCGGGCTGGTTTGCCTGCTACGAACCCACAAAACCCCTCTGATAACAACACCACGACAGCACTTGTCATGCTGCACAGCAATCTTGGGCTTCCCCGAGTGGCTCCTGCCTGAGACTCTCAGCTCTGTAAGGGGAGGCGTGAGGTCTCTGTCACCACCAGTGCCGGGCACACAGCAGGTACTCACCCAGATGACGTACAGTCATGGTCTCAACCCACTTCCCTTTGGAGCCCAAGGTCGGTGGAGATCAGTGGCAGCAGTGATGGGGGGACAGTACAGGGCCCTGACCACTGAGCTCAGCCCAGAAATAGCGCCAGCAGCAGGGAGGTCCCCCCCATCCACGGAGATGCCACAGTTGGCTTTGCCTTCCTGCTGGTGGGACAGCCTGGCTTTCCATGGTGTCATTCACACTCCCTTGGCCAGTCTCCCTCATGACTAATGGTGTGCATATGGAAGGCGAGAGGGCACAGTTGGCCGGCAGACAGAGCACCAGCCAATGGGACCACAACCCATCCCTGGCTCTTTGAATCATGAATACTTTGTTCTACCCGGCTAGGCCTGGCAGTCCCAGGCCAGTGGATCTGGGGCCGATGTGGTTTATGTCCAAAGTTGGAATATTTGAGCAACAGGCAAGGAAAGAAAAACTAAGGGCTAAGATCCCACACTCAGATGTTAAGAGGGATCAAGCAGGGAAGGTCAATGGAGGAAATGAATGAACAACAATGTGGAAAAGAGCCCAATGGGTCTTATGGAAAATTCTTTCATTTTTTAAATTTGGGCCAGATTTGGCTGATGGATGACCTTGGATATATCTGCCTTTTCAAAACTCAGGCTCTTCAGACCAATTTGATTAAAAATAAATACCCGTGTAGAAGTTGTTAATACTGCAGACTTTAGCCGGTTTTATTTCACTGTTCTGTCTTACTGTTTAACAATGTAATTTCTTACTCAACTTTTCCAGGCGTAGATTGTGTGGCAGGGTTGAAGTATGACTGATTTACAGTGGCTGCCCCGAAGGGTCTGGCCACAGGTGACGTGTGAAAGGCCATCACATCACCTGACGGACAAAGTCAGCAAGGCAAATATTTTAAGACTGCACATTTCTTTGCCACAGTTTCCTTTTCATACCATCATTATTCAAGTAACTGAACTACCACTGCCAACTTGTTTATTTTAGGAGGCAATATTCTATCTTAGTGGAGTTGTTCAGACACACTTTCTTGCTAATCCTCAATCCCTTTTAGGCAGAGTGGGGTGTTTTTCCCAAAAGCCAGCAGCAAATCCAGGTAATGGCCAAGGACCTGGTGCTCTAGCATCCTTCCCCTGGGCAGTGATTGGCTCTACAGAGCTATGCCCATTCAGTAGAAAGAAAATATCTCTGGGGCACCTGGGTGGCTCAGTCGGTTAAGCCTCTGCCTTCAGCTCAGGTCGTGATTTCAGGGTCCTGGGATCGAGTCCCACATTGGGCTCTCTGCTCAGCAGGGAGCAGCTTCTCCTGCTCCCCTTGCTTGTACACATACACTCTCTCTGTCAAATAAATAAAATCTTAAAAAAAAAAAAGAAAAAGAAAGAAAGTAAGGAAGGAAGGAAGGGAGGGAGGGAGGGAGGAAGGAAGGGAGGGAGGGAGGAAGGAAGAAAGAAAGAGACATCTCTGGAATCTATCCTTAGTCCTTCCATCTAGGCTTTGCGGGTGGGGAACTTTTCAAGGAAGAAAATAAACTCTATCTTAACGTGGTGGTTGACCACACAAGCTCCACCACCAGATGGCCTGGGTTCAAGTCCCAGTTCTTTACTCCCTAACTATGTCCCCTGAACCTCAGTTCCCCCAACTATAAAATGAATATAATGATATCAGCAACACTTAGCATCCACAATATTCTAAGAACCCGATAAACCTTGGCCATCGTTATCATCCCGACACCAATTAAAAAAGTAGACAGAAGATGTCTGGAATAATCAGTTCAACAGATATATTTGAGCAGCTGTTTGTGTAAAACCCTGGAAGGCCACGTCATTCATTCAACCAACACATATTTAAGTAGAACTTTCTACGTATCCGATTTTGTAAGTCTAGTGTATTTAATCATTCATCCATCCTGCGTCCATCCAAGTTTTACCTGTGTCTGCGGCAGCCTACCATCCGCACGCACACACAGGCACATACCCCCATTTCACTACATATGCAGGAGGCACCAAACTGGTGAGCAAGAGACTTGGTTCCTGTCCCTGTGGAGATGGTGGGGAAGACAGACAAACGGGTCAGTTGCCCAGAGGTCAGAACCATCCTGGGTCCTCAGCTCAAGGAAGCTGGTGGTGGCGAGGGGAACAGAGATGTCCGAGGAGCTGCAAGTCCCAGGGGCCTTGCCCTCACCTGCAGGTCCCGGTTGTGGTTTTCGCACAGGAGCTGAAGGAACCGGAGGATGGGCTGCATGATGGTGATGACCGCGCTCATCTCCAGCTCGTCCTTGGTCTTGTCTGCTGTGGCCTGGGTGCCTTCCCCAGACTGGTAGTGGTCGTCGGGGTCAGCCTCCCTCCGGAAGGTGCTGAAGGCTTTCCTGGTGGCAGCAGAGGCCTCCAGGAGCTGATCTCGGACCTCTTCCGTTATTTGTGTTGAGGGCTCTTTGGCTAGAATGCAAACAGAAGACACTCAATGCTGCTGAGTCCTCAGGAGTCCTAATCACGGCATGAGAGATAATGTTCAAAAAGGCAGGTTCTGGTATTCACTAGAAATCTTCAAGGTTGGACAAACACTTCTCTTAGTCCTTACGATCGAAACTGGGTCATGCCCTGCCCACTTGCTTATGGCTCTGACACTGTAACTAAGCTTGCACTGTTTTAGAGGAAAAGTCTTAGAATTGGCTCTATCAGCCTCACAAATCTGTATGGATCTGGGCCTCAGGGTCCTCATCTGCAAAGGGGACAGAGGATCAGTGAATTCTACCTAGAGAAGCTTCTGAGAGAGTTGACATAACAAGGATCACAACTGTTAAGTCCTGTTACTGTGGTGACAATAAGTTGAGCGCTTTCCACTAAGTACCAAGGCACTGTGTGTTACCTCATCGAACCCTCACAGTGACCCTGGAAGGCATCAGAGTGAGGCGTGCAGTGCCCTGCAGCCAGTCTGCCTGGGTTCAAAACCTACTCACTGCATAGCCTTAACAAGGACAAGTCAGTCTCCACTCCTCAGTTTCCTCATCTGTAAAATGGGGGTAACAATTCTATCTCTTGTACAGGGTTAATTTCAGTTCCAAATCAAGTAAAGGATGAATAGTGCCTGGTTCATAGAAAGTACTTAGTAAATTTTAGCCTTTCTCCCTTTCTTTATTCCCTTTCTAGATCAGTGGTTATAAACTAGAGCTGACTTTGTGCTCACCCCAACCCCGGGGACAATCAGCACACTCTGAGGACACTTCTAGTCTGCTGCAGGGGTGGGCTACTGATATCTATTGGGTAGAGGCCACACATGCTGTCAAACACCCCACAGCGCACAGATCAGCCCCTCCAGTGACTCATCCTCCAGAAGCCAAATGTACTGTGGCTGAAGAAACCCAGTTCTCAACTTAAAATAAGAGGCCCGTAGTGGCTCGTTAGCCTGTTACAGCCATTTGACTTGAACACTGGTGCATCTACCTACTTCCAAGTATGACTTCTCTTTGAGTGAGAGCATGAATGAACAACTTTAGAAACTTTCAAATAATTTCAAAAATATGGGGAAATTAGGTGACAAGTGATACATACCCAGTTTTGAAGTGTTTGTCTTTTTTAAGATTTACTTATTTTTTATTATTTTTTTAAATTAACATATAATGTATTATTTGTTTCAGGGGTACAGGTCTGTGAATCACTGTCTTACACAATTCACAGCACTCACCATAGCACATACCCTCCCCAATGTCCATCACCCAACCACCCCATCCCTCCCACCCCCCTCCACTCCAGCAACCCTCAGTTTGTTTCCTGAGATTAAGAGTCTCTTATGTTATGTCTCCCTCTCTGGTTTCACCTTGTTTCATTTTCCCTTCCCTTCCCCTACGATCCTCTGCCTTGTTTCTCATATTCCTCATATCAGTGAGATCATGTGATAATTGACTTTCTCTGATTGACTTAGTTCCCTTAGCATAATACCCTCTAGTTCCATCCATGGCATTGCAAATGGCAAGATTTTGATACAGTGGAATATTATGTAGCCATTACTTATTTATTTTAAAGAGGGAGCGAGAAAGAGAGCATGTGCATGAGACAGCAAGAGGGAGAGGAGAGAGAGAATCTTAAGCAGACTCCCCATAGAGACTCAGGTGCCCCTAAGTTTGTGTTTTAACTTTCCCTACCATTGAATAGAAAATTACAGGAAAAGATTACAAATGGATTTCCTGCCAATAAAACCTTGAGCTTGACCAAGAAGAAGGTACATACATCTTTTTACACAAGAAGAACCGCCAAACCACAGTTTGAGCAGTTCAGCTCTGCTTACTTGGGAAGAATTACATTGTAACCAGACTGGTCTGCTTCTCCTGAAAGCCTCAGGTAGAATAGTTTGGAGTCTGTAGGTCCAGCTGGTGGAAGGGCTGCACGCAGGGGAACACTTACCTTTTTTCCGGGATGGGGCATCCCTGTCTACCTCATCATCTTTCTTTTTATTCCCCAAGTCACTGGTGTTCACGGTCACTGTTGCTTTGATTTCCTGCTGGGCCACCTTCATTCGGTCATAGAAGACTTTGAAGAATCTTTCTGACTTCTTGTCTTCTGTTAACCGGCAGAAAAAGGAGTGCTGCCGAGGAAAACCCACAGAGTTTTCAACACGGTGACAGACCAGTGATCTAATCCCACTCAAGACACCAAAATCTCACGGAGATCCGAGCCAGCTGCAAAACCTCACAAATGGTCTAGGTTTGGACCCAAGTTGGTTCCATGCACTATCATTCTCCGGACTGCACACCCTGAGGTTTTCTACACAGAGACTTTATTTTTTTTTTAATTTTTTAATTTTTTTTTTAAGATTTTATTTATTTATTTGTCAGAGAGAGAGAGGGAGAGAGAGCGAGCACAGTCAGACAGAATGGCAAGCAGAGGCAGAGGGAGAAGCAGGCTCCCTGACGAGCAAGGAGCCCGATGTGGGACTCAATCCCAGGACGCTGGGATCACGACCTGAGCCGAAGGCAGCGGCTTAACCAACTGAGCCACCCAGGCGTCCCTACACGGAGACTTTAAAGCAGCCCGCCACAGGATGTCTCTGATGGACAGTCACACAGGCTTGAGACACATTCTAAGGGGGGTGGTGGTGGGGAGAATCCGGCCTACTAAGAACAAGCACCTGCACACACCCAAAACAACTCCTTTAACAATGGAAACGAGGTATTTTTGGTGATTACTGCAGGTCCTGTCATGTGTTGAAGGGCTTCTGTGAGCCCCTCCACTGCACACGGCCCTGTGAATATCTACAGACCAGGTAAGACGTGCTTTCCGCCCCTACAAAGCTCCATACCAGGTCAGGGTGACAAGTTCGTAAGTAAAACAAAAATGTGTCAGTAAAAAGTGCTCCAGAAGCTACACAGTTACATCCTAGAAGCGTGGAGCTGGCAAGGATGCCAGTGGCCACAGTGATCCCAAAATCTTTGTGGAAAAGGTGATTTTCAAACCAGGTCTTGAAGGATAGGTAGAGAGTGGTTAGATGAAGAAGCTCAACGTTAACAGGTAGCTTGTCTCTTGGATGCACATTTGTTTCTGGGCCCACTGCAAGCAATAGTATACAATGTTGATGTAAAAACACAATATGGTGTCTCAACTTCATTTATGAGTATTCTCTTTTCACCCCTTTGCAAACACCACGCTGTTGTGAATTATTTACATAAAAATACAATACGGTCATTTCCAGAGGAATAAAACAAAGCTCCAAACAATATATTTGCTTCTCCCGGTTGGATCTTTCTGCCAATTTCAAATTCTCTCCCATTTGGAAAGATGGCATTTCCCTACTGAAGGTAGCCTTAAGGCTTGCAATCCTAGAAAAAAGTAAAACCTTAACAGCCATTGTATTGTAGCCCCTTAACTCCTCGATCTCTCACCCTGCCCCACCCCCGCAACACCTGCCACCAGATCCAGCAGGCCCGGGGAAAGCCACTGTGTTTCCATCTGCCAAAAGGCAAGTGTGGTCCCTGACCCTTCTTCTAGCCACTAGCCCCTAGCCCCAAGTGCTGCCTTGACAAATGTAGGTCTCATTTGCCAACAAAGCGCTTCTTGATTGTGCTCTTTCCTTTCCCTCTCACTCTTCTTCCTTACTCCTGGTTGTTTTCAATATATAGCACAAGATCCATCCTTCCTACTTGTGCTCCCTGATTCTATCTTTTCCCCTCCAACGGCTCCCAGTGGCAGTACAAGTCACTGCCTTCCTACTGCTTGGCCTTATTCTGTGTGTCATGAGTCCTCCCAGACTCCCACACTCTTTGAACCAAGCTCAAGTCTTTTGTGTCCTTTTGTGTCCTCCATTGTACTTTACTACCTTTTATCTTCTTTTAAGTTTCTTACTATTTCGTCTATCCATCCATCATCCCATCCACTTACCCATTCATCCAGACACCTACACATCTCCCTGTTTATCCACCCATCCAGTATTTACTCTGCACCTGTCATGTGCTGGGCTCTACGCCCATCATAGGAGTTGTAATGGTGAGCAAAAAGAGGCCTGGACCCTGCCCCCCCATAAAACTGGTAGGCCAGTAAGGAAAAGACCCAGTAATTCAATAATCACCCTAAGGATGATTTACTAAAAATAGCCATTTATCCTTATGAAACTGACCCAAGAGAATGCCAGCAGAGTGCTATATCAGACACTCAGGGCCACCGCCTTGCTCTTCCTTGCTTTTCCTGGCTCTTCCCATGGCTAGGGTCCCCTCATCCCCACTAACATCACTTCCTCAGCGAGGCCATCCCTGACCATCCTGCCTGAGGCAGCAAACCAGTCAACTGCTTATTCTCCCCTGCCCTGTTTTATTCTCCTCGTAGCAAGTGGTCTCTGTTGTATTTGTTGTTTACCTACTTACTGCATGTCTCATGCAGAGTGCAAGCTCCAAGAGGCCAGATGCCACACCTGTATGCTTTACAGCTCTCTCCAGAGCACCCACAGGAGCCCCAACACCTAGAAGGAGTTTCCTAATCATTTGAGGAAAGAATGAACACAACCCAATACTTCATGGCTCCTTCTAACCATCAGATCCTGCTTATATTCAGTGGCTGTGCCAGAAGTAAACCCCCAACACAGATTAATTCTGGAAAACTGCTCAAATATGAAAAAGCAAGTTCTAACTGTTCACTTCTTTGAGAGCTAATGCCGTCTACAAACAAAAGGAGAGAGGTGGGGACTCAGAACTCAACCTATCACCACCTAATTATGGTGACTACATTTTTTTACCAAGATAAGCCATACAATAGTTCACCCACATGGGGTCACGAGGAGACTGCACCAGAAGGGGGCCCCTTGGGGCAATTAACTTCAGTTGCTACCCCATTAGTCTTCTTGTCGCATGGAGGCAACTTAAAAAGCATCCTTTGGACAATCTGATCACTCAAAAAAAAAAAAAAAAGGCACTTTAAGTAGGTAAGCAAATAAATAAATAACTAAAGCCTGCCATCTGTCATTGGTAACAGCGCAACAAGCGATCACCAGCTACAAACCGCACTGCTTAACGTCTAGCTGGTTAACCCAACAGATGTCAACTGATAGGGCCAGGGGAGGGGAACCTCTTATGAAACGGGAGAAGGGCAAGTGACTGAGGATTACACACTTCTATATATGTTTTGCAACAGCCAGTATATTTATTTTGCATTATTTATATCAGTCCTTAGTCCCTCAAGGATCTGAAGCCGCTTTATAAACAGAATGTGGTCAACAAATTAAGAAAGTAGACACTAGGTACAGAGACACGAGTAAGCACTGAGAACCAGGACTAAACCAGGCCAGAGGCTGGAAGGTGGAAGAGATGATTCAGGGCAGTCCTGAGTCCCTGAAGTAACCAGCCATTCTGCTGAAATGGAAGGTATACTCCAGTGGTTATTAGTAAGTATCAAAAGAAAAAATATTGCCAGTGCCTCGAAGGAAGGAAAACATTCCTGAATGAAGGGGTTAGAGGGCAGGCTTTCCAGTCAGAACCCCTTGGGTCCCTCACTCACTAGCTCTGTCATCTGAGGCAAGTTACTCAGTCTCTCTGAACCCACTCGGAAGAGTTGCCACGGTGCCCACAAAACACTTAGCACAGGGCCCACTGAGTGTCGTGTGTGTGTGTGTCTGTGTGTGTGCGCGCGCACGTGCATGTGTATGTATGGCCATCACATTAGTATAATGTGAAAACCCCACAGTGAAGGCATCCCCCTAAGAGGCGAGGGCTGGGGCGTGAAGTGTGAGAATTCTGTCTCTGGAGACAGAGACACCCAGGTTTCAGCTCTGCTACTCATGAGCTGATATCACCTTAGAAAGTGACGATACCTCTGAAACCCAAATTTTCTCATTGGAAAAATGGCCATGGTAACAGTACCACATGGTGGTTATGAAGATCTAATGAGAAAATCACAGTAATAGGCACAATGACCCATATTTCCTGACTGCTTATAAGGTGCCAGGAACCCAGAGTAAAGCTTCATGTGTGTTTTCTGACACAGAAGTTCGCTAGGGGTAGTTATTACTTGAATCTGGGAGATCAGGGTACCCTAAAATATAATGGACATCAAGTATTTAGCACACCCCTGAGATGCCCACACTGTGACAAATGAAACCTCACCAAGACACTGTGAGAGTCAAGAGCTGTCGCCTCAGGTCTCCTGCCTGAGAATCTAATTAAAGATACTCTGGAAGGAAGAAGCTTGGTCTCCAGAAGGGAAGCAGTGCTATCTTGTGTAAGAGGAGAAGTGAAAAGTGACAGCAGTGCAGGAGAGCTAAGATACCTCTCCCATAGAGGCATGATGTGCCAAAGGGGTAAATGGGGGGCTGAGGAACGGGGCCCTCAGTTAGGGGCTCCTGGAGGCAGTCACTGCCCTTCTCTGGTGCTCAGCACAGTCTGGACTCGGCCAGACCAAGGCCCTGCACATAGTTCAAAAGCCTGTTTGTTAAACCTCTTTCTGTGACATTGTATTTGGAGGACTTGGGAGGGGAGAGGGGACACCCTCCCCAGGACTCTTTCCCCAGATGCAGGAGGGACCTCAGACCAGAGCAGGTGGGTACTTTGGTGGGTACTTTGCCTCCCAGACCTCAGGCTCTTGAAGCAGGGCCTTTTCTTTTTTTCTTTTTGCTTTATTTACTTATGCTTTTAAACTTAAATTCAACTAACATATATTATTAGTTTCAGAGGTAGAGGTCAGTGATTCACCAGTATTATATAACACTCAGTGTTCCTTGCATCGCGTGCCCCCCTTAATGTCCATCATCCAATTACCCCATCCTTTCATCCCCCAGTTATCCCCTCCCCTCCAGCAAGCTTCAGTTTTCCTGTAATTAAGAGTCTCTTATGATTTGTCTCCCTCTCTGATTTCATCTTATTTTTCCCTCTCTTCCCCTATGATCCTGTTTTGTTTCTTAAATTCCACATATGAGTGAGATCGTATAATTGTCTTTCTCTGATTGACTTATTTCGCTTAGCATTATACCCTCATTGTTGCAAATGGCAAAATTTCATTTTTTTTTTTGATGGCTGAGTATTCTATTGTATATATATATATATATACCACATTTTCTTTATCCATTCATCTGTCAATGGACATGTGGGCTCCTTCCATAGCTTGGTT